CACACAGTCATTTCTAGTCCAACGCTGCAAGCCCATTGAATTCAAGGGGGAACCCGATTGAAGAGTAGTTGGCAGGCATCAATTCACACCTAAATGATGTCCACCAACGGGTCCTCCATCAACATACCATCCTCTAATCGAGTTCTAATCGGCCGCAGCCGTTCAATTTGCTGTTGTTCGATCCCCACATGGGGCTTTAAGCATGATCCCAGAGATCTCTCCGGGTTTTATTTTGGGTCCCGTGTTCTTGTGGGCTGTTAACAAGCCAAGGGGTCAGCTCCGCGACCTAGGTGTTGCAACACATGACGCAACCTTGTTGCTTTCCCTTTAAAGGACCAACCAAACAGTTCCCCTCAAGAAATGCTCATTAAACTCGGGTTCCCATTAAGCTGGACTGTTTAAAGTTAGTGCTTGCTCCATCCACCAGATCGTGGTGTTTTCCCTTGTTGTAGTGGTGACTCACCACGGATCACGGGGAACCTCCTGCAAACCCCACATGTTGAGCAACGCAGCCTTTCACAGGAATAAGGGTCAATTCTTACTATCAGCTATAGCAAGAGGTGACCCTTGGGTGCAGACCATTCCCGGCAAACGTGACAAATCACGCGCGCAGGAAGGCCGCCGCGAAAGGCTGGGGAGCGGGGGGTGGTAGAGGGCCACAGGAGTTTCGAACATGGCTCCCCTGAAAGCCATGACCCACAGGAGTTTTGCTCACTTGGCTAGGGGCGAAAGCAGGTGGGCCAATACGTGCGATCCAAAGAGGAAGATGCTGTATCCCCACAAGGCAGCCACGTTTCACGCGCTTCCATGTCAGTCTGACCAAGACTGGGGCTGCTCCTCCACCTGAAATCAATCAGTCACCCAAATGAGGTTTGGGCAATTTTCCAGTTTTCTGTGGTCATTGTTGGGAGCGACCTCAAGAAACCAGGGGACTCTCTAGCTTACCCGGCCTACCCGCGGGCATGCATAGCAAATCCTGGCCGCGCATATCAGCAGTTTGACCCCATATCGCATTTGGGCCCTGGGATCTTACAAAAACACTGTCAGGCATCCGATCACTCGAAGATCTGAGCAGATGTCAACATTGCGAGACCTGGAACATGGCATGGACACCTTTGTCCAGCTTTAATAGAATGTTCCCCCAAGGCCAGTCTCAGCCTCTCAATGGCACCCTTGCAAGCTTGTGGCACAAGCAGGGTCCAGGTGTCTGATGGGCGCATGTATTTGACCTATTTGATTCGCTCGGGATTCGGGAGAGGTTCCCACCACTCTTCTGTCAATGCGTTGTTTTGCGGCAAGCTGAGTCCTTGAGTCACGAAACTGTGAAATGATTAGGTAAACCTCAAGTCAAGGACCGAAGTCATGTGATTCACCGCAGATTCCCGATCAGGCGATGGCAAGCGACTTTGCTGCAAAAGCAGTGCTTGGTGGCCTTCCAAGCCTTTCCCCTCTTTCCAATAACGGAAGTGGACAGGAGGGTGGAAGACTGGAAGACTGTTTTAAGACAGCCCCTGACTCACCTCCATGTTTGGCAAAATGGATAAAGGCCCAGAGATCCAAATTTGTTTGCCAATCGGGGGCCTTTGCCTGCGCCTCTGGTCTTTTGGCAATGATTTGAAGCAGGCCAGAAGTGATCCAACCTCATGGTACACGCATTGAACATGAGCCTCCCTTGTTACTATTTTGTTGAGGTACCTGCGAGTGAAGCCCAAACGATGCTTTCCAACAATCGTGGGAGTGGACCAGTCGCCTTTCCAAACCCTCTTGACTTCCAAGATTGTTGGAACAAGGCATGTGTGTGAGGCAATAGACGCTCTCTGCAGACACTGACGTTCGAACCACCCAGACGTCATGTCCTCAAGTTTTGTTTGAGCAAGGTTCCTCTCATGCGCAAAAGCCTTAAACCGGTCGTCGTCAACAGCAAGTCTTCTTCCTTCCCTTATTACACAAAGGGGGGGCCCCTTGTAGTGGTTGCATTGCATGGTTGACTCTTCCTTTTCATGGTTGTTGAGTATCACCATTTTTGTGTGACCCCAATGTGAGCGATTCCTCTGACTACTTTGTAGTTTTAAAGTTAAAACCTGACGGGGTCAGGTAATACTGGAAAGACAATTCGGGAATTGATGTTAGCCGGACATTGAGTTTGAGCAGACTTCTTAAGTAACAAGTTGCGTAGAACCTGCGCTTGTTGCGCATTATTGGACTGCACTTGCTGGTGTCGAGCCTGACGATTAGCATTGTGGCCTTGTACTAGTGTAGTTGTTTACTATGTGTTGGTATTTGTTGGTATTGTTTGCTGTGTTTTTGCTAGGTTGTTTTTGTTTGATCGTGTTTGCAATTCAACGTTGCAAATCAATTTCTGCAAGTTGCAATTATTGACTGCCAATATCACTTGTGTGTTTGTAGTAAACTATTTTTACTATTTTTTGCCATTTTCACAATTTCAACGTCGACCGTTGCTTTTGTTTGCTGCTATGTTATTCATCATATTACGTTCACTGGATTTTACGACCTTCCTAATGGTTGCTATTCATTTGTATGGTATTTGCTGGTTTGCTATGTTCTTAGAAGTGTTCACTATGTGGTGTGTGTTGGTTTAATTATCTTTGGGCATAATTACCAAGTTGCAATCCTTGACTTCCATTATAATTATTCTTCCTAAGCATGTATTCGTCCATGTCCAAGTCATACCTCCTGGCGTCACTCTTCATCTTAATGGCACCTTTCCCTAGGTCTCACCACCAAGCAGCCCCTAAAGCCCTGGTTTTCCACCGCGCCCGTGACACCTCCAGCGACGAGAAGAGAAACGTTCCGAGGGCCGAGAAGGGGAAGCCGCCGAAGCCGAAGAAGCCGGGGCTGCTGAAGAAGCTGAAGAACCCGCTGAAGAACCCGCTGAAGAAGAGCGCCGGGCCGCCCAACGCCCGCGCTCCGGTCTTTTTCTTTTTTTTTGGTTTTTGGTTTTGTCCTTTTCTTCGAAGAAAGTGGAAGGGTTTTGTTGTTCTCTGGCGTTTGCAAGGGCTGCACAACTTGATTGCTATTCGGTTGGAACTTTAGACTTGAACCTTTTGGGAAATCAAGGGTTTTCCATCGAGCTCACAACAGATAAACTTTTGCAGAGGGGTCAACAGCAACCAAGAGAAACCTTTCCAATTTGACGGTGCTGCTGCAAGATATAAGATATGGTCAAAGAAAGGACCTGCCCACTTGGGGTTTGTTGGGGTGGTTGTCAACTGGGTAATGAGGAGTTTGATTATCAGCTGGGTAGTAAGGAGTTTGGGCAGCCATGGTGGGGCTTCCCATAAAGGGAACCATGACCGCCCGCAAAAGGAGGGGGGACCATGGGCACATTTGGATGCACTTGGGGTTGTATGACTTGGGGTTGGTGTGAGTGGTTATGGACCCAGTCACTACAAGAACTCCTTCGGGGAATCATGACCATGACCTCAGGAGTCTTGGCTTCGGCTGCTTGCGCTCACTTTGAAGCGTTTCTGGGGTAGTGTTAGGATACATGTCTCCATTTGGCCGGTGGCCAAGACTGAAGCAACAACCAACGCAATAGAAGGTCCATTTTGAAACTGGCCTCAAGAGGCAATGATTCCCGCCAGCTAGCAAAAGCCGGCGATTTGGAGGGGTCAGGTCGCCAAACCAGCAAAGGAGTTAAGAGCCTGCTAACTCGAAAGCTTTCCGGGGTGGTCAAGGAGTGCCATCTCTTCACTGACTTTGCGAAGGTTTTCCAATGTGTCCCTCGCATTGGATGGTTCAAGCCAGTGAGTTGCGGTTTTGACACAGCTGGAATAGCGGGAACACACGGAACAAGTCGAATCCTGGACAAGCCCTTCGGCGTGGTTCTTGATGACAACTCCTGAAACCAGCAGCATATCTTGCCTGCGACCTTGAATTGTTCGTGAGAGGAATCCGTCCATCTTCCGGGAAGACTAGGCGATTTCTAGGCAGCCGGTCCCGGCTTCGGGGCACTTGTCATGGAGGGTACCCTTCTTGAGGTCGCCTGAAGGGCGCAACAAACCAGCCACTGGGGGTGGGGACTGCTTTGGGACGGTTTCAGATAGCCAACGTGAAACCATGAAGCCAACCATGCAGCCAACCATTGTCAGACCCGTTGACTGCTTTCTAACGCTGGCCCGCGTCGCCTTTCGCATGTTGTATCTATCTGGCTGTGAGCCTTTGGCTCGAGTATATGGTCGACACATGGCTCGCAAAGCCCGGGGTTTAAGGATTGTCCCAACGAGAGCTGCGCACATCCGCATATTTTTTTGGTTTTATATTCAAGTACCAGGTTGGGTTTGTGAGAGTACTTCTAAGGGACAGTCCCAGCCATAGAATCGCGGCGAATATCCGCCCTGTTTATTCAGACCAGTGTTTGGGTCTACTCTTTGAACACCTGGATTGATGAAGTTAAGGTCAATTTTCTCTACACGGATTCACAGAGAAAACGGGCTTACCCATGATAAGGTCTCTTCGGGATTCCAGAATTGTGGTTTCTGAATGCTTGTAGTTTGCCAAAGTAAAAACAAGTGGCGTGCCAGCCGATCAGCTCGCAACCAGACTGCTCAAGCAGACAGCTCTCATACCCATGGCAATACCTATATAAATATGTATTATACATATTTGGAGAGAGAGAGAGAGAGATGGAGTGCATTGACGTGGTTGTTAACAGTGTGGAACCTCTTTTGAGACCCGTTGAACGGTGGCACGACATGACAGGGAACTTGAGGGTTCGAGGCACACACACACACACCCACACGCGCTAGAGCCGTGAGTGCTCACCTTCCCAGTCGTTGGCCTTTATGTCTCAAGAGATCCTCTTTCAAATACATGAACAAGTTGGTGGGGGCGTCATTTCCACCAACCTTCTTGATGAACATCGCCACGTGTTTTTCCGGATGCGTTGCTCGCGCCCATGGCAGCACCTCCCAGCAGACCCCCGCCCGCGCCGGCGCCTGCGACGCCCGCCCGGGCGCAGCCGCCTGGGCGGCGCCCAGGCGGGCGACCGGCGCCGGACGCCCGGTGGGCGCTGGCGGCAGCGCTCACATTTGGCAGGCGAGAGAGACTGCAATGGGTAGATCCTGGGCTAGTAGTGTATTTGTTGACATTCGTTGTACACATGCGGGGTATGTGTGTACATACACAAGCCGGGGGGGTGGCAGGGGATTTAAGTAAATGCACCGGTGCTACAATGGAATTTTCGGGTCAAACAGTTAGACTTTTAGCGACCAAGCTGAGAACAACCAAGTATGTGTATATATATATATAATAATAATAAAAAATATATTAATAATAATACTAATAATAATAACAATAACAATAATAACAATTACAACAATAACAATAATAATAATAATAACAATAATAATAACAATAGCAATAACAATAATAATAATAATAATAATAATAATAACAATACTAATAATAATACTAATAATAATAATACTAATAATAATAACAATAACAACAACAATAACAATAACAATAACAATAATAATAACAATGACAATAACAATAACAATAATAATAACAATAATAATAACAACAATAATAATAACAACAATAATAATAATAATAACAATAATAATAATACTAGTAATAGTAATAGTAACAATAATGATGATGATAATAATAATAATAATTTAATACTAATAATAATGATAATGATAATGATAGTGGTACTAATAATAGTAATAATAATAATAGTAATAATAATAATAATAACAATACTAATAATAATACTAATCATAATAATACTAATAATAATAATAATAATACTAACAATAACAACAACAATAACAATAACAATAACAATAACAATAACAATAACAGTAATAATAACAATAACAATAACAATACCAATAATAATAATAGTAATAATAATAATAATTTAATAATAATAATAATAATGATAATGATAATGATAATGATAATAATAGTAATAGTAGTAATAATAATAATAATACTCATAATAATAATACCAATTATAACAATAACAATAACAGTAACAATACCAATAACAATAACAATAATAATAATAACACTAACAATAACAATAACAACAATAATAATAATAATAACAATAATAATAATATTAATAATAATACTAATAATAATAAATATATATATATATATATATATATTGCAGTCGCTGACATTGCATGGTGTTTGCCGCTGGACTCTTTTAAAGTCCTGACGCAAACAAGCTTGCAACCTGACGTTCTCACAGCAGTGTACCATCTTCAAAGCTGCCGAGACCAGCTTGGTTCCTCGATACAAGCAAATAGGTACACTATCAGGCAATGGGAACTGGATGAACCAAAATAGAGGGGTGTCACCCAGAAAACGAAGCAGCATCAAAATGCATCTGTGGCCATCTCTTGAGGCTCATGGTTTTGGACCTTTGCCCGCGATGGGACGTGTTCCAGGCCAACATGGGGACAAGGATTTCCGCGGCAATGCGAGTAGGGTTCAGTGTGGGGGTACGAGGTTGAGGAGGAGCCTCGCGGGGTACTACGGAGTAGCTCCAAGGCGCTTCCAATACTTCCCTTGTCTGGGTTGCTTGCACATCACCTTCCGGGCAATTCCGTTTTTTACACGTCTCTTTTTGAGTTTTTTGAGACGGGCATCCTCCCTTTGCGGTGCTGCAACACCACCTTTTGAGCCCATGGCAAAGCTTCCGTTTCCGAACCCTCGAGCTTGGGAGGTGTGCCGAGCTCCGCACGCGACGCGCGGCCAAGAAGCCGCCCGGGCCGTCGCCCGGGCCGTTGCCAGCGGCGTTGCGGCAGCAGCTGAAGCAGAAAAGGGCGCGAGAGGCGCGGGAGGGCCAGAAATGAATGTGCGGGATCCCAACTCTTTGAAGACACCTTTCATTCGGGTTATTTTTTTCAGATTTTTAGGTTATTTAGGTTGTTTTTTTCTCGATCATCAGAAGTTCTTGCGCTCTAGTGGGTTTTCTGGAGCTTGATGAAGGGGAGCCCGGGGCCCGGTGTCCCGTATATCAAGGACTGCTTCAGCTTCGGACACACCCCCAATCGATATAAGGGGCAAAACGCAGACAAACAGCTTCACCCCATGAGGTCATCTTGTGTCATACCCAGCAACTTGGTGATGGTTTAGGCCCCAACGGGGTCCGATCCCAGACGGAGGCGCCTCTACAAATCGAGTTGCAGGGGAGTACCCAACCATGATGGGATGTTGCTGTGCAACATGACGGTGTCCCTGGGTGAGTCTCGTGTTTTCAGGTTTATGCATGTGTCGGGTTGACGAATGAGCCCATTTGTGGACCTGTTTCAGTGATATTTTACACCGTCCACGCAAATTGAGTGCCACCTTGAAACGGATGCGAAAAGGGGGTGCATGATTTTGTTCACCTGTCTTTTGGTACTGGTCTGAACACTTGCTTGCCCAGGACGTTCATTCCAATGAAGGGCACCAAGCAACATAAAGGATAAGATTAAAAGCATTCGGTTCTCCTCCACGTTTTTTCGGGTTTAACCCCCAGAGTTTGGCCAACAGTAAGGTATATCAGTGTAGTGTGTGTGTGTGTGGGGGCCCAAAACATGTTGCACGCCAGCACAGTACCCGTTTGGGGGTGGAGGGAGGAGCGGAACATGGGAGACTGACCAGGTGCTTACCAGCTCTTTGTAGAAAACGGTTTTGGGGATAGAACAACCATTCGCTTGCAACATGGTTGTATTGAGTGAGGTTGGGGGTGTCCAGAAAACGGGAAATCAACTGGAAATCACCAAATTGCAGCAATCCTTGTTGCACCTTCTTTCCGTACGTGCAGAGCGGCCTTTGTCATCGCTTGTGTATTGGGTATTTTCCCATGTTGGCGGTTTTTTTTTGAAATCCACCCACTTGGAGGTTTGGAATGTTGATTCCTTTGCTGGGTTCAGGATCCCAGCTGTAAGTTAATCTGCAAGAGAGTACGTGCGTGCATCTGGTTTGTCGAGGCTCAGCGCCCTCTTGGGGTGGAAAGCCAAGCGGAAAAAGGGGGCGACCATTTTTTATTATTTCTGGTAACCCAAGTCGAGGTTAGGATGGACTGGGCTTCTTGCCTGTTGTCACCAGTGTTATGAAATTAGGGCCCCACGCCCGGCCAGGCGCCGAGTGAAGAGCTTCTAGCAGGCTGGCTGGCCGTTGAGTCCTGCAGCCAGGACCGCGAGCAGCGTGTGGCTGTTGTTTTATTTTTCTGCCGCAAGACGAGGATACTAGGTCCCTCAGTAGTGCCCTTCTCTCCCCTTTTGTGGGGGAGGGTTTCCCTACTAGACTACAGAAACTCGGTACCCTTATTCTAACCTCTCTACCGGAGGACCTAGGGATGCATCGCTTTGTCTCAACATCGGAGAAGCCCTTTTGTGGATTGAAATGGACACTGACCATTTTTGAGGGTTCTCATATTTTGAGACAAGCCAAAGTTTGCTTGAGGGCATCCTTTCGGGTTAGCTTCGAAATCAAAGCTATTTTGAGACCAGATTTACATATTGACATGTGGTTTCTAATCAAGGTGATTTCTGTTACAAGCCAGCTTTGCATCTACATGATGCTTGGTTTCCATGGCCATATGCGCCTATATGGCTTAACGGTAGCATGGTTGGGATCCACAATGGTTCACAGAAGCCTTTATTGTAGCCTTTTCTTGGGCAGGCATGAACCACTTGTCAAATACACAGACGTGTTTGTGTTTTTTGAGGGTACTCTTTTCTAGCTGGTTTACAGGGAAAGCAAAAGGGGACTCCACCATTTGCTGGGTCTCCTTATCTTGACACATCAGAGGAGTGAAAGGGAAAGGAGACAAACAAGGCCAGCAGAACTGCGACCCTGGCGGGAAACGTTAAACCGTTATACGAAGGTTGGGACTTGGGGAGCTGATTGAACGACGGGGTGCCGCGAGAAGGAGAGGTTGTGTTGCCTTGTTGTGGGATTCAGGAATAATGCAAGTTGTTTGTCGGCAAAGGCAACCCTGCATACCCTCCCTCCAGTGATGGAAGCCGACAGAAAAGCTTTGCAAGACTACTCTCATACAAGAGGCCTCCTGTCCACTTCCACGAGCCTGTCATAGCCTGTCAAGCAATGACCAAACCACAGTAGGAATTGGTAAAGGGTTTCCTTTGGTTTCCCTTTACCTGCGCTGCACTTTCTACCCTGCCATGGGGTCAACCGGGAGCAAAGGAGTCCGCGCTGCAGAACCTCACCGATTTGGATGCCAGCCACCTCCAGCGCGTGTCGGCCGGCTGTGCGGAGAGTGCACGCGGCAAGGGTCAGCTCACCTGGGCGCTGAAGAAGGAAGATCCCAAGGCCTACTTCTCGTGGCCCGGCAGACGTGAGCCGACGCTGCCTTGGACAACCTGAGAGGTGGCCCGATTTACAGACGACTCCAGTACCAATGTTATTGCAAACACGCGAAAAAGTGAACATGCCGGATTTGGAAGAGACAGCCCCAGGCAAACCCCGCGTCGAGTCCGAAGTGGGCTGCAAGGGAGCGAGGGAATCCACAGCATGTGGAGGTTCATGTCGATGCGAAGCCGAAAACGCCATTCGCAAGGTTCTAAGGACGTGTTCCAACGTTCCCGACCGGCCTTGCCTCTTTGAGTATGTTGTTTGAGTCGGTTGCGCGCTAAGACTTCTCCAGGCAGCTTGAGTTTCCATTGTGTGTAGCAACCCATACAGCTGGTACATCTGGCACCGCCCACGTGCGTCGGCCCCACAGACGCACCCTCGAATTTGAGGAAGGGACCCATATGATGCGTTCTGATCCGGTGCTTTAGATTCAGTGGCAACTCGCACATATCTACCGAAGGACCGAAAGAACATCATAGAATCGGCCCAAGACCCCTTCCCACATACCTTATGTTTGGACCATACCTCGGTCCATGTTTTGAAAAGGAGTCCTTCATAGGGGTGCTGGTTTATGCTCAAAAGGCGTGTTCCCCCCAGCATGAAAAGCTGAGACATGGTGAGGGCTTGCATTTGATTTGACTTCAGCCATAAATAAACCCTGAGGCTGTTGGGTCATCCGCCTGATTCGGGTTTTAGGTAATTATCAGCGTGTGTTGAGGTTGTTCTGCTCTACAAGCATGAGCCATCCACCAACCCTCGCTCATATAGTGTAGAGCTATCCTGCCAAATTCAATGTGGAGGATTCCCTCATGAATTCTTGAAATGACTATGGGGCGTTTTTGCTTCCCATATATTTCGAGATGGACACGCACGCCCGAGCCCACAGATCCAGCGTTTGACGGCCTGCAGCCCTTTTGCCCAGGTACGTGGCAGAGCACCCAGAGGCAGGCTACGGTGTGTGCCCCTAGATGCCCTAAACATTGCAAGGGAGAAAGGGAAAACCGTATGGTGTTGGATGCGTTTGGCTCACTTGCAATATTCAGGGAATCAGCTTTGCTTTAACTCTTTCTGCGGGTAGAGTAAGGATGTGTGTGACTATGTGCCTTAAACCCCCAAACCTTACCGATTGGGGGGGGGAGCTCACACGTGAAAGGTCTTAACACACGTATTTCCAGTTTTCTGTGCTCAACAGGCCCCTTCACTTGGGGGTGGGTGGAGATGGTCGTGAACCCCTGAATAGGGAATTGAGACAGCCTACTTAAAATTCCTATTGACCCACGACCATGGCCCGCATTATCAGTTTTGACAATGGCCACGTGGGTCTGTCTCAACTTCAGAAATGGGCCCGGTGTCTCCAAGAAGGGTACTCTCTCAACACACCCACGGTGTGCTCTGCTCAACTACATGTTGTGAATCCATGGTCCATGACGTTGTTCGTAGTTTTCTGGTAGCTGGGGAGGACTTCCCAAATTCCCTTCAATGATGCGGGGGACAACCCAAGGTTCCCCAGGTGCTTTGGGGGAAACAAGCGATCTTGTCAGTTCGTGTGTCTAAGGATAGTTGTTGGCTGTCTCCTTTTTGTTCGGGGCTCCAAGGCTCGGGTAGATGGCCGTCCACCTGTTGAGATGAAACACGTTGACCCTTCAAAGTTCTACCTATGTACTCAACCCCTTGATGGGTAATATCGGTGATATCTCGAGCATTCCCTATCAACAGCCTTTCAACCTCCTCTTGTTCCTCTATGATACAAGAGGGCCTTGTAATCCTGAACATCTCGTTGTTCCCCCAGGATATCAACTAAACATCAGGGCCCCCCCATCTCGTTGTTCCCCCAGAAGATCAATATATATATATATATATATACATATATATCAAGCATAAGTTCCCCTAGAAACATCGAGTGTGTATTATATATATACATATATATGTGCACAGTGTTTGTGCAGTCATTTTATGAAGAAAGAAGGAAACGTAGTTCATGGGGGGGGGCCCCCTTGGGGTCATTTCTTCGCCGGCCGCCCCGGCGGGTCTGGGCCTGCGCTTCATGGAGGCCTTTGCCCAGCAGCTCCGGGACCGCGACAAGTGGCGGGAGGGCCTGCCGCAGGCGAGCCAGCCCGGAGGGTGCCATCTGTTTGGATGGGGAGAACGAACGGGAAATCCAAAAAGCACCCCGAAGTTTGGTTGAGATGTTGAGATTTGGATGGGGTGGATGGGGAGAACTAAAGGGAAATCCAACACATCCAAAACAGGGCCCCGAGATGTTAAGTTGAGATGTTGAGCATGGGAGCAAGGGGCTGCAGGGGGCTCATATTTTGTAAAAAGCATGTGGGCAAGGGGGGTTCAGGGGTCCCTCATGTTTCGAGAAGCATGTGGGCAAGGGGTTAGGGCCGGAAAGGCGGCAGGCCACATGGATTTGACTCAACGTTGGTGATGTTGCGTGCTTGGTGATGTGCGTGGCTGGACTTTGACTTTGGTGATGTTGCGTGCTTGCCACCTCCGGTCTTGGGCATGATCCCAAATGATGACAGGAAATATTTGTTTGATCATCTCTTTTGCTGAACAACAGTGTCCTGGCCGGGGAGTGATTTACTGGCGAATCCAAGAATTCGGGAAGTGGTTAATGTGTCTGCAACCGCTCGGTGCGATAAGAAAGAGTCGTGTACTGGCCCATGTGCATAATTACCCTAAAAAGCCACGGTTTGTTGGTCACATTTAAATTGTTCCAGGAGAGGTTTGAGCCAACATTTAAACCAACACCAGCCAACTTGCCCTGTCGGCGGTGAGCAGCTCCCAAAACCATCTCATTGGCCACTTTGGGTCAGTGTACCTGGATCCATGGGGGTCATGTACGGAGCAGAAACTTTCCAGCCATGGTAGCAAAAGTCAATGGAAAGCCAACGGGACACCCATTTTGGAGGTTTCCCTTTGAGACTCCTGTTCTCAGTTGCTGACGGCATGGAAACAAATCGGGTCGTAACAAGTCATAAAAATCGGTTGCCCAGAATTCCTTCATCTCCAATCCCTTGAACCCACGGTAAGAGATGGGGGCCCATGCCCCGGTTTCGGTTTCGGTTTCAGTTTCGCGGGGCGCCAGGTGCTGATGGTGGCGGAGAAGCCTTCGGTGGCGCGGCTGGTGGCGGACTTTCTGAGCAGCGCGCAGCGCCAGAAGCTCCGGGAGCGCCGGGGCCTGTCGCCGGCCTGCCCCGTCCTGGCGCCGTGGCCGTGAGACTCGTAAGCCCCGGTGGGGCGGTGGGGTTGGGGTGGGCTGGGGTGGGCTAGGGTGGGGTGAGGTGGGGCTGGGCTGGGGTGGGGTGGGGCTGGGCTGGGGTGGGGTGGGGTGGGGTGGGGTGGGGTACGGTGGGGCCCAAAGCCGTGATTTTGTTTTTTGTTGTGCTTGTTGTCCCAGCAAATTTATATAGACCCCAAACTGGCATCCCTTCAAGAAGAATCTCCCTTGGGGGGATTCTGTTTTTGGGCTCCATGGGTCCAATTGCATTTGCAGGGGAGCTGGTCTCATTGAGAACCCGGCCAGCTAGCTTTGCTGGTGAGAACGCTTACAGCGCGCTCAAGCACGCTTGAAAAGTCCTCGACAAAATACTTGTTGCCTGGTTCCGTTTACAACAACCTTTCAGAGGAACATGTTGAGGATGTCCCTTTAACGGGCCCAGCTCCATATCATTTCTCAGGGTTGATGATCACAAGAAGGGACAGTCGCTCAACATGCACTCATGATGGTCCAGTCATCCGAGCGCTCGCAGGCTGCTTTCAGGTAACGCTATGTCTGAATCCCTCAGCCTGAGTTGCCTTAGGTGTTTGTCCTAGATCAGCCTGCTAAGGGATGGACATCCTTTCGTCTCCCCAAAAGGGGCTTTTTCTTCCAAAGAGTGGGTTGCCCCTTTTTAGGTCTTCCCTTTTGAAGTGCCCCCTGACTGATTCTGGAGTCCAGATTGCGCAAATGTCCCCCCAATTTCTGAATCCTGTCTGAGGCCCAACTGCGAAGTGCCAAAGGTGGGTTGTACTTTAAGTAGGCCCCCTTTCCAGGCCTTACCTGCCCCGCCTGCACCAAGAATGGGTCCCCCTTTCCAGGCCCCCTTACGTGCCCCGCCTGATTGCCTGATGCTTGGCTGCTTTGCAACTGAGGAGTTCCCAGGCACCTTCCCAGCCACAAACCAGCGCTGTGTGATCACGGTGACCTCGGTGATTGGGCATCTGTGTCAGCTGGAGTTTGACGGCCAGCCCCTCGGTCGGCTTTGACAGCTTCGACAGCTTACTCTCAAAAGCGTATCAGCTTGACATTGTGAGACTGACTAGACACTTTGGGAATTGTCAAGACAGACTAAGAAACTTGAGTTGCATGCAAGCTTTGTGAATGGGAGTTTAGCATTTGACAGGGAAATTGTTCCGACCCATTCTCCATGTTCTGCGACGCTCGGAGGAAGAAGTCAAACAACCCTGCCATCGGCAAGATCAGTTTTTGGCGTATTTGCTAGTGGGTTGGTAGCAAACACTGGGTGTGTGTGTTCTTCCCTCAAGTATCTTCAAATAAATATGTCTCCTTTCCAAATGCAACATCATACTGGCAATGCCAGGTTTGGCAGTTTTGGCAGTATCAAATGGCTTTGGATCAAGGTATGCGTATGGTGGCCAGGGATTTGCAGGGTTGGATTGACTTTGGCATGGTTGTGATTGACTTCACTCAATGTCGACCCAGATTCATCGCCATGGTTGCACTCGGGTCTCCCCCTGTGATACTCAATTTCCCCGATCAAAGTCAAGGGTTCTGCTTCCGGTCCAGCTGTTGGGCAAGTGCCTTCGGGCCAAGGGCGGGTTGCGAGCTTAGGCGCATGGCTTGGTCAACAAGCTTGCAAGCATGCAGTTGTGGTGTGTGTGTGTGTCTGTGTTTTCCTTTTCGGATGGAGGTGGTTCGTCCTCTTGGGGACCCAACAAGTACATCAATTTTGCATATTGCACACACACAGAGGGGGGGGAACTTACTTGATGGCTCACACGGGGAACCTGCTTGTTCCACCCAACCTGCGTTTTGGGCCTAGAAGCCCAAAGGTAAACGATGTCACACACAGCAGATCTGGCGTTCCCCATTGCCATGTTGTTTCCATGATCAAAGTCAGCCGCCTAAGGGGTAGGTGTGGTAGTTTCTCACTCCCCGAGTTTCTGGACTGAATATTGGGGAAGAACAATTGAGTTGCAAACAACAAGTATGTTTAGCATGGTTTTGTCCAATCCACTCATTAATTGAGGAGCCAACTCTTGTTTCCGACTTTGGGAAAAAAGCAAGGTGGCGTTGGTCCTTGGGCCCGCCTTTTTTCGGGTTTGAAAGGACGTAAAGGACATAAATGACAGAAACCCAACCAAACAAGTGGGGGTTTGGTAGGGGTTTCCTAATTTTGAGACCCGATTTCCATCTTTGGTTGTACGTAGGGGTTTCCCTAATTTTCAGACCCGCCAATCCCAAGCTTCGGTCGTCCAGGCTACCGCAGCAGCTGGAAGGCATCTACCAGGCGCCGGTGGTGAAGACCTACACAGACAGTGCCTTGGATTCACAAGGCCCCTGAGTGGTTAGCCATCCGGTTCCTTTGCTTTGTAGCCTTTTAGTTGTATAGTGGGGATTTCCATTTAACCCACTAAAAGTGAAACTTGTTGCAGGGGATCTGAGGACAGCCCAGGCCCTTGAGAAATAGAGAAAGGTTGCCGGACAATTTTGGGCCCAAGTCCTTCGGGTGACCAGGTGGTTGGTTTCCTCTCGGCTTTTGGCTCCCCCTTTCCATCCCAAAACAAGGCGACCCGTACCGTGGATAGACCAAATCCACCCCAGGCACCTGCTAGGTGGATTTTCCCCCGTTTTGTCCACCAGTATGCAAATCGGGCTTCATCCCGTTTCACCTGGTGCCCTCCGCACCAAAAAATCAATTGTCTCTTACCCGGGTCCTTGGAGCAACCTTGAGGTGGTTGGTTTACCACTGCCCTGGCTACCCTCCCAACAAATGCGAGGCATGGCAGCAACATCCTGTTTCACCAGAAGAGGTAGTCTTTCAAGCCACGTTTGTTGCAAGTGGAACTCAATACTCGTGTAAACCCCGTTGGTTGTCCTGTTCATTGGATTCTCTTAAACCAGGCAAAAGCGGGGTCTCTTCTTTTTTTAAGAACTGCCATTTGCGTATAAGTCATTATCCTTGATGAGGTCGCCTTGTCTCGGGCAGGTAAGGTCGCTGCAATTGCTGACTCTCTTTGGGGTTTGGACCAGTTTAGTGGCACGCAACAATATTTGAACTTTTCCTGGGCATTCTCAGAAAATGAGTGTTTCGTTGATTCAGGACCACACATGGAATCAACCTCAAATGAAATGGTTGTTGCTTTGATTGAGATTTCCTGACAGGGGGGACGCGGGGACCCTGCATTTTGTCAACCCCGTCGTTGGTGGTTTGGATTGGTGGTTTGACAGTTTGAACACTTCCTTCGAAGTAACTGACGATGGCAACCTCGGTCCGAACAAAAAAAGCACCACTGAAGGCGGTCTGCTGTATGGGTGTGTGTGTGTGTGTAGAGGTTCACCGAAGCACCAATTCAGGCGGTCTGATGGGTGTGTGTGTGTGTGGTTTTTGAGTAGCCTTTTGGGGTACGGTTAGGGAAATCCCTTCGGGAAAATGGGGGGGGGGCTCGTTCTGAGGCGCCCGGAAGGCGAGGGTGGCCGAGCACCTGCAGGATGGGAGAGAACTGGTGAAACCGAATTCAGGGGTGGGGTTTGGTGTGTTTGATGTCCAAGTGAGAACCGGTGCGACAGAAACCAGGGGTTGGTTTGGGTGTTTGGCGTGTTAGGTTTGGCCGGGGTTTGGATGGCTTGGTGGTTCTACGGGTATGTTTTAGGGCTTCTAGTAAAGCCTCAAATTATATCCACCATTCGTGGGGGAGAATAGTTGAGAATCGGTAAACACATAAAAACGTGCGACTGATGCTTGGGAAGGAGGGCTGCCAAAATCTAGCAAATACCCGCCCCGTTTTACTCCCAGTACGTAGTCAATTCAGCACAAGTTGGGAGAGCTTTTGGAACTGCCCAGAAGTTTTGAAACATGAATCAATTTGTCTAGCTTGGATGACCATACTGGTCGAGGCTTCTTGAAATCCCACACCCAGAGGTGAAACAGAAATGATTCTGAGGGGTTCATGAATCCAAAGCGGACCCCAGAATTGTCACTCAATATAAACCATAGTCCAAACAGCTTGTTTTCAGTTGGGATCACCTGCGCTGAGGTTTCCTACTTGCGCAGATCAGCCTGGACGTTTAAAAACGGGTCCCACAAGAGCCGTGTCCTCTACAAAACGTCGGGTTGTGGCCTCCGTGTTGAGCTTGGCCATCGTTGTTTGTTTGTTTTTGTTTTGTTTTTTTCAGGAGCTGGCGAAAGGCTCTGAGCACCTATGCCTCTGGCTGGACGCGGATCGAGAGGCAAGCGAGGGGCTTGACTTGGGGCTCCGCCAGGGGCAAGAAACGAACATCTCGCCTTTGTGGGTTATAAGACCACCTGTGGGAATTTTAATTCGTCAAATCATTTTCCATTTCGAGGTCCATTAAATATGGGCCATAATGGCAGATATGTGTGTTTGGGTTGGTGGCAAAAGCTGAGGTCAACCGTTTAGTCCCAATGGATGTCCACGGTGCATGTCCTGTCAGGAAACCAGATCCCCACTCCTGGATGAGCAAACGGGAACAAGGCAAGAAATCAACCCAACTTGGATGACGCCTCCCTTCTGTTTTGCTGAACACAAGGCCCTTTGCAGTTGCCAAGTTTAGATTAAGGGGCTGGCAATCGTTGCCAAATGTGGGGAACCAGACTCCCCAGAAAAGTGCGCCAGCCACTCTTCTTGCGCCAGAAGGCACCAGCCCTCCGTTAGGTGTCCTTTTGTAGAGTGCGAGAGGGTAGCAACATGTCGGTTTTGTGCTTTTTGAGGGGGCCCTTCTTCAGCTGCACACAACCCATGGGGTCCCACTATGTTGTCACGTAAACACTCGTGAACATAGTTTGTTTCGGTGGTGGTTACGCATCTGTAAAAAGAGGATGTAGACTTGGGCGGCAACCTGGGTTCCGTGGTGCAGGTATTGCAGAGATGCAAACCCTAGGATGAGCTCGTTTCTGCTTTATAAGGCTCTTGGAGACTTACACGTCCGTGTTTGTAACTTATACCTAGAAAAAATATAAAGAACACAACGTCCAATGCATGTATACTGAGCTGCCGAGCCCACCCAATTTTCCAACCAACAGCGGGGCGCCGCTGCTTTTTGTATGTTGGGGCTGACATGTTTGGACGCGGACTCCTAGTGAGAAGAATGACCCGTGACCCTGCCAAGCAATGCCAGCTGGCTGCCGGAAACATGCAATTGGATGAAAGAGCGTCTCCATTTAAAGTAGTTTATCCTCTTTGTTTGCGGACATAATGGGAACAGTGCTATTTGTTTGTGGCCGGGTGTACTTCATGCCAGGGCACGCGCTGTTCATGGGAGGAGCAAATCTTATTGTTTGTATGGATGAACCTTTGCGATTGGTGATGTATCAAACTTCCCAAGTGCGGGTTGTTCCCTTCCAAGCAACGAACTCATGGGTTGAGATGTCCATTGTCTTCGCTACGGGTTTCCGCCGGAAGGCCCCTCAGGAATCTGGTCCTCCAAGTGGCTCCAGTCATGTTCTATGTTGGGTGGGAGACTCTTGTTTCGGCCATCAAACTGAGGCTCCCTGCCCAGTCTTAATCAAAGGAAGCCCAAAGGGCTGGATCCTGTTTTGCCCAGACCGATGTATCCGTTGGTGTTGCCTACTGCTTCGGGACCTCGGAGCTGGTCGGATCAGGGCGAGAACATCGGCTTCGAAGTGATCGCAGCACCTCGGAAGCAACGACTCAGCTCTCACTCGGTCAGTCCCCGAGTTCTTGGACTTGTTATGTTTTTGGGGAGTTCCCTAAATTGGTTGGGTTCTTTTGGTTTCCCGTTGAATACCCACTAAGGGGCGAATGGCTCCTTCTGGGAAAAGCGGGCGTACAATTTTGAGAAACACCTATTTCAGACAGCAACTTGCGTGACCGGCGTAACACTAATGGGCAGCTGTTTTCTCCGCGGCAGATTCAATTATTCTGGCATGGACCTGTCAAGATGTTGTCCTGTCTCCTCAGAACAGTGTATATTTTCAGGTTGACAAATAATGAGGCAGAATCAGACAAACTGTTTTGTCACGTTGCCCTCTCAGGTGTGCAAAGAGTGGTTCCCCGACAACTCCCGAGTCCATCGCGCGATCTTCTCTGCCCTTACGCAGGAGGAGGCGAAATAGTTTCTGTGTGCCGTGTGCAAATCGTCTTCCGGAACCCGGACAGGGGGCGGTCCGAAGCGGAGATTCCTTCACAAACCGAAGGTGTGGGTGTGCTGCGTGCTCCCGGGGCTTCCCACAGCGATTCCTCCAACAATGCTGATGTTTGTGTTCTGGTGGATGCCATGTTAGTTTGCAGTAACGTGAACTGGGGAGTTGCTTCATTCGCAGTCGGCAGTCATACCTGGCCCCAACTTTTGCTGTGCTTGTCGCAAACCCCGTCGTGCGGCAACATTAGGCACCTCGGTATAAACTCGAGCGCTATCCGTATGGACTGACTACGAAAAAGGGCCAATTTCTGGAATCAAAGAGGCGTGTTTGGTGTCCTCAACTAACGCGCCAGAAGGACAGGTTTGGAGGAACCTTTGCAAGAACACCTATGGTCAGAAGAAGGTTCTTTGCATCTCCCCTACTAGCACTACTAACTTGAGATGCAAACAGGAACGTTCATGACGAAGGTCGCCCCGCCCGAGAGCCTTACATGGTTGGATTGAATGGCCAAAGAGAACACCGCGGGCCACTGAGGGCAGAAGAGTTTACGCACATAGCATACACAAAAGGACTTCTCTGAGAAAACTTGGCGCTTCTCGCAGGATTTGTGGGCCGGTGGGGAAGGGGTTTGGGTAGTTATTCAAGCTCATCTTGCAAATGGGTGGAATCATGGCAATAAAGGTGTACGTTGACTTTATAATGCACGTGCTCTGTATCATGATCCACAGAGTCATCCTCCTCCATCGGCCGCGGATGTCATAAGCAAGCAACGGGTTCTGTCACCAGCAATTTCTTCTGTGCCATGCTTTCTCGGGTCCTAAATTTCAGGTGGTGAATTTATAGCTCGCAACTAATGCTGTTGGTCGTCTGCGGGCGGCCACACCAAATTCACCACAAAGACAAGGCGACCAGCCCATTTTCACATCTCCTGCGGAGGAAAGATTTGTTGTTTGGGGCTAATCTGGTCCTCGGAGATGCGGCTGGGGCTTGTCAGCAGGTGTGCTCCTCCTTCGAATCACTGGGCAAGCCTGATGCGGATGTGGCGAAAGGAGTAGATGCTTCTTGGACAGGCACTGCAGTTTGTTTCTCAGGGGAAGCACAGCTGGTTATCCGGGGCGGTCTTCAAACTAAGGGTTCCTGTTGTGGGAATCATAAGCACGACCAGGTCAGAGAGGTTTCACATATGTTCACCAACTTGCGGGCAGATCCGCAGACATCTTTCCGGCAAAGTGGGCTGTTGGGCCGTTTTGTTTTGAGGTGGAGATAAATGTCGATCTAGACTAAGTCGTAACTAGTACTCATATACGATGGCACACTTGGACTATCCCAGAACCCTTCATTACGCCTTTTGAGCTTACCCCAAGCATCCCATGATGATTCCCTGTGAGGGGGGGGGGGTAGAAGGTTCTTGGAGACGGACGATTCCTCAAATAGGACGTCTCTTGGACACATGCAACCCAAACTGGTCACCCCACATAGGGATTCGGCAAAAAGACAACATTACCACGGTATCGATTTGTTGCTTTGCATGTTGCTTTTCCGCTATCGGTTTTGCAGGTCGATAGGTGTTGGTTATGGATAGCAGGACCTTTGTCGGGTATTCATACAAATACAATGTGATCTTGCCTGAGAAGGACAAGTAATAGCCTGGACGGAAGATCCTTTCTTCAGGCCTTTTGAATCCAGTACGGGATTCAGCAAGAGGACCACCATATGAGCAACGAAGACTGTCATTAGAGTTGTGGTTGTGTGGTGCGATCGTTCAGTGGGACAATTTGGAGGATGTCACCTTGATGGTCCAAACCGAGGCTCGTCAGGAGCTTGACTTGCGTGTGGGCATCTCCTTCAGCCGCCTCCTCACTCGCAAGCTCCGGGACGAGACGAAGGCCCAGTCTGTGACCTACGGCCCCTGCCAAACGCACCTGGGATTGGGGTGTGGGGGTCTATTTGAAGGGGTTTCTTTGATTAATATGCTCCTCCGGATTCATTCGAAGTTAGCATGACTAAAGTGACTAAAGCGGAGGCAAGGTGATATTTGCAATTATCAGGACGGTCCGGCGCAGTCTGGGTGTGGGGCACGGAGTCTCGAGTGTGGTAAGATGCGGTAAAGAAATCAAAAAAGGAGAAACATGAGTGCCCAGCCTGCCGCGCCGCAGAATTCGAATGGAACCCTTTCATCAGTACCCCATCCTTTCTGGTTGGGTGGGAAAGACTTGCTTGCCTCACCAAAGCCCTGGCTGACTTGTTTTAAATGGAGGTGTGCCATGCTTATCGAGGCGATCCACCTCACTTTTGTGAGGCGATCCGCCTCCTTGTTCCGCTCGTTTGGTTCAACAGTCTTGGCTCGTTTAGCAGGATGAAGCGTTGTATGGATTCAGGGCCCCCAGTCAGGTTCCATGGCAACGCAAAAAGAGAGCATCCCCTCAAGTGGTGTCATCCTGTTTTCGGGGCCATTTGGATTTCAAGTGGGCGTGCAGCTTCGGCAACGTCTATCAAATGATTTGAGAACTGAGGCCCGGGGAACAGGCCCTTGCCAGCGAACCGACTTGATCTGGGGCCTATGTTTCATGTTAGGGTTGCCGAAATATATGAAGAATTGGCACATATGTTAACCTAGATCCAGTTGGTTTAAAGGGTCATCCGCAACCCTTCAAAGGGACAACTTGCAACAATCAAATGAGTAAACCACATCTCAACTTCAATCCAACCCACCAATCTAAATCAATCCAACCCACCAATCTACATCAAAAATCCAACCCACCAATCTACACCTATCCAAGCCACCAAATCCAAAGCGCCGCCTTCGCCGCACTCGACTCGAGGCCAGCGCTGGGCTTCTGCGTGGCGCGGCACGGGGAGATCGAAGGCTTCCAGCCGCGGAAGGTTTGGACGCCCCGGGTGGAGGCGCGAAGTTTTCAGCGCCTGAGACGACTCCACATGGGTGGTCTAGGGCTACCTTCTGTTTTAAGGGCAAAAGGGGTGGACTGTGAAAGTGTTTTTTTTGCTTTTTGTTTTTGGTTTCTAAGGGTAGCTTCCATTTCCCTGCCTTCCAGGATTCCTTTTTTCTTAGAAAACCTGGCAGAAGAGTAGGGGAAATGGCCGGCTTGTGAACAGAACGAACGGGGAATCAAGCCCCAGAAAGGGAGACCCCCCCCAAAATTTCTTTGCTTTGCCTGTAGGTTTAGCCCGAGGGTGCCCTCGACCAATCGCAAGGCCATATATTTTCCTTGAGGGGTGGGGGGGGGGTTTCATCATCACCGAAGTTCACCCAGACCTGACAGGACTCACATGGGTATATGTGAAGATAGGGGATTCGAAGGTGGGGAGAGCCCCCAAAATTGGTTTAGACAAAGGGTGCCCTCAACAAACACACAAAGCCAAAAGGGCGGGGGAGGGTTTAAACGTCACCATCATCACTTCTTGGTCCAATTCAAAGCGAGTTTCCTTTTGGGATGTTTTGAGGGAAATATGGAGAACTCGAATGGGTTCCGATGGCTTGCACCCAAGGACACCCTCTTCGTTTGTTTTCTTCTTTTTTTCCGCATCCGGAGGAAACCCATTAACCTGGTCAAAAAGGAGACCTCGGGCCCTGGCGCACTTTGATTCCTTGAGTTACAACCCCCCATGCCCCCACATTTGTGTTGGCAAGACAATTCCATCCAACCCAGCCTCCAAGTCTTTACCAAGCCTGGGGTTGAGGTTTTGCACTGCTTCCTCTTGACCTCACAAAAGCACCAGCCCCAGCTTCCCCAAAGCAACAATTGTTTTGGGCTCAGTCTGCCAGTTTGCCCCTCTAATGGCTAAGTTTGGTTTGAAAGTACCGCACATCCCCTTAGATCTCCATGCTTGTAGTTGATACTTGGTTCAATTGGGCTCATAGTGAAGCCTCTATTACTACCTGGACATTCTTGTGGTACACAATTTTCGCCGCTTCATGAAACAGCGAAATAAATCAGCGCTTTGCGCAAAATTGGGCGGTTTCTTCAAGAATTGCCGCTTCAGAAAAGCCACATGGAAAACTGCCGGTTCAAGCGTACATTAACCTCTCGGTTTTGCCCTTCATTGCTGCTCTGGCTCCTACTTTGCCCGCAGCGGCTTTCGGCTGGCCTGGGCCTTGGCTCGATACCTCCGGTGAAGGGCTCGAGCTTTCACGAGGTAGAGTTGCAACACCCGCTTCAACAATTGTTTTTGATCTTGAAATCTTGCCAACTAGGTCTTCGTTTTGCTCACAGCTGTGTATGAGCGGGTTTGCTATTTTGATGGCACCTTGCCTCAGGACAGCTTTGATTTATTTCAACAAGTGTGTGGTTGAAAGAATGCACTTTTGGCTTCATGGCCCACCCTGCAAATTTGAGTTCCCGAAGAGCGACACCTGCCAGTTGCGCGGAAGTCTGCTGGAACTCATAGTCTGACCAAAGCCCATGCTGATATAGAGCACCTGCGGGAATTTAGCAGCAATCTCGCATCCACGGCGCATCATGCGCAAGAGTGGGTGATCAAGTGGCGCTTGAATAAAGCCGCCAATTCAATGATGGCAACCAACCATTCCAAAGTAAGCATAACATCAGAGCCCTGGACATTAAACCATGGATAGCTATCCTTCGATTCAGATGGCGCACAAGGCGAGGGGAGAAGCGAAGTGGGCAACTACAAACTTGTGATACTCAGCCATCACGCGGGCCCATGTCTCAACTGGGTCACTTCAAAATAGGATATGAAGACCCAAACAAACGCTCACAAACACTGTCAATTGAACTGGCTGCATAGTTGGCCTTACTATTCCTCAAAGAACTTGCGCAGATCAATTTTGGGGACTGTGGGGACAACGGAATCCCGTTCTCAATTTCTGGGGGGTCAATTTCTGAGGCACTCAATTTCTTTTTGAAAGGTAGACCAATACTCAATTCCTGAGGGGAGTTCTGATAATAGAATCCTGATGGGAGGTACCAAACCCCTACGTGAGCCCCCCGAAACCACAAGAGAAACTGCTCGGGAAGCAATAGGGCCAACTATCAAAGAATTAACAATTGTTTTTTGTGTCTCCTTGAAGCTCCTTTTCAAAGCAATTAGTTTACAAATCCCCGACAGAGCCAAGTATCAGGTAGCTATGTATACTAGTTTTGTTCTTGCGTTCTCTTCGTCCGAAAGAGTCGCATTGTGACATTGGGAGCGCAAGTTCTGAGAGGAGTGCTGAGGGGGGTCAGCACTACAGTGTTGAGGGGGGGGTGAGTACTCAATCACATAGAAAAGTGAGGGCGATTACTCACAGTTGGTCTTTGTAGGGCCAAAGAGTTTAAACACAAGCATCAACCTCCTCGTCATCCTCGTGAACCGCGGAGACTGATTAGGGAAACTTCTTCCGCCCTGGTCACTTGCAAGCGGGTTTTTGAGGGATCCAAGAAAACAAGGAAGAAAGGGAAGCGCATCATGGTTGACCTTACTGTTTCTGCACAGCAAGGTCCTTCGCCGGTACTTGTCGGCCACTTGAAGGCGGCTGACATGCACCACGTGGCTGGTTCAAACCCCACTGATTGAGCATCAGTGTCCTTCGACACGAACTCTCCTTCAATGATCAACTCATTCGATTCCATTCTTATACGGAGTCGCCCGCATGCCTGCTGGAAGGACCCTAAGATCAGGCGTTTCAGGCTACTGCTAATGAAAGCAAAGGGTCTCTGCAGAATCCACCTCGCAGATCTTCTCAATGCTTTTTTGTGCCTCCTGCCATGCAGTCAGCAATGATGGCTTCGCTTCTTTGAAGGTCCCGTTTACCGCCTTCGAAGCCTTGATCGCCTCGCCGATGCCGAAAAGTGCAATTTTCCCGGCTTTGGCTGATTCTTGTTGGCAGCAGCATCGTCCATGTCAGGGATTCATCGTTGTTTGCTTCAGGTTCCTGAGAGTTCCCTTCATCATCTTCTGACTCACACTCATCATCCTCCCAACTGCAGCGGGGCTGCGCGATCAAGTTTCCTCTTGAGATCAACCACATCCGCCTCAGCACGAGAAGTGGGAAATGCTTCCCTGGCCAAAGGCGTCGGCTCTGCAGGCCAGGAACCTTTGCCCAAGGGAGTCTCTTTGGCAGGGGCGGTGTGCACTTGGGTCGCAGCGAAGCTGGGCAAGGTGTAGACGGCCGGGGAAGGGCATACCCGTAGACCATAATCGCTTAACTGTTTATACCATCATGTTGCTTTTGCTCCGGGGCCAAGACACAGACTCCGAAGGACTGGGCGGAGCAAGTGGCTGAGCGTTCTTCTGATTCTTGAGTTCCTGGTGTTCCTTCTGGATAGCCTGTTGGTCTTGCAGCCCGGCAAGGAAAAGGCAAGGCGCTTCGAGTTGCATCACCGTGGCATTGATCCGCCGAAGTTGGACTTTCCTGCTCCAGCATCCTAAGGAAAAGGGTAGGCGTCCATGACTGGGCAATGTGATGCAGTGCAGCAGCTTTCTTGCCAACCCACGGATGCGCAGGCAAGGTGCCCCGTTGCTTGACAGTTCCTCAGCGGCCACCTGAGACTCCACCTTCCTCAGCGGCCGGATGTTATTCCCTCCCTTTCCAATCTCAGGTTTGAAAGGGACCAGGGGTGACGGAGAGCTTCGCCAAATACATTCTATGCGATTTTTTCACGCAAACACTCAACTTTTCAAAAAGTGCGAAAAATGAAACGGCGATCTTGGGCGACCAACCGGCGATCTTTCGCGGCCAAACGGCGATCTTTCCCAAACCAGAAATTCGCAACATTTTAAGCCGTGGCTTTGCCCGTTTGCCCTTTTGCCTTTTTTGCCGTGTTTGGGGGGTCTAGCGGATCTTCGGCGCCAGGATGTTGCGCGCGAAGCCGTTTGAGCCACCAAAGCCGTCAGAAAGGGCAAAAGGGCAAACGGGCGTGGCCTAAAATGTTGCGAATTTCTGGTTCGGGAAAGATCGCCGTTTGGCCGCAAAAGATCGCCGGTTGGTCGCCCAAGATCGCCGTTTCATTTTTCGCACTTTTTGAAAAGTTGAGTGTTTGCGTGAAAAAACGCATAGAATGTATTTGGCGAAACTCTCCGTCACCCCTGGTCCCTTTCAAACCTAAGGGTTGGAAAGGGAGGGGATAGCATCCGGCCGCTGAGGAAGGTGGAGTCTCAGGTGGCCGCTGAGGAACTGTCGAGCAATGGAAAGGTGCGGAGGAAAGTCCAACTTTGGCGGAGCAGTGCCACACTGATGGAACTCGAAGCGCCTTGCCTTTTCCTTGCTGGGCTGCAAGACCGGCTATCCAGAAGGAACGCCAGGAACTCAAGAATCGGAAGAACAAGAAAGAGAAATAGTGGACGGACGCTCAGCCACTTGCTCCGCCCAGTCCTTCGGAGTCTGTGTCTTGGCCCCGGAGCAAAAGCAACATGATGGTATATACAGTTAAGCGATTATGGTCTACGGGTATGCCCTTCCCCGGCCGTCTACACCTTGCCCAGCTTCGCTGCGACCCAAGTGCACACCGCCCCTGCCAAAGAGACTCCCTTGGGCAAAGGTTCCTGGCCTGCAGAGCCCACGCCTTTGGCCAGGGAAGCATCTCCCACTTCTCTTGCCGAGGCGGATGTGGTTTTTGAAGAGCAAACTCGATCGCGCAGCCACGCTGCAGTTGGGAGAATGATGAGTGTGAGTCGGAAGGTGATGAAGGGAACTCTCAGGAAACTGAAGAAAACAACGATTTGATGAAATCCCTTGCATGGACGATGCTGTTGCCAACTAGAATAAGTAAGCCAAAGCCGGAGTGTCGGCGTCGGCGAGGCGATCACAAAGCTTCGAAGGCGGTAAACGGGACCAAGAACCGAAGCCATCATTGCTGACTGCATGGCAGGGGGCACCAACAAAAACATTGAGAAGATCTGTGAGGTGGATTCTGCAGAGACCCTTTGCTTTCATTAGCCGTCGCCCGAAACGCCTGATCTTAGGGTCCTTCCAGCAGGAATGCGAGCCACTCCGTATGGAAATGGAACCGAATGAGTTGATCATTGAGGGAGAGTTCGTGTCGAAGGACACAATGCTCAATCAGTAGTGGGGTTGGAACCAGCCACGTGGTGCATGTTAGCCGCCTGCAAGTTGCCGACAAGTACCAGCGAAAGACCTTATTTTGTGCAGAAACATTAAGGTCAACCATCATGCGCTTCCCGTTTTTCCTTGTTTTCTTGGATGCCCCAAAAAGCTGCTTGCAAGTGACCAGGGCGGAAGAAGTTTCTTTAATCAGTCCCCGCGGAACCACAAGAATTATTGAGGAAGTGCAAGCGTGTGTTTAAACTCTTTGGCCCTACAAAGACCAACTGTGAGTAATCGCCCTCACTTTTCTATGTGATTGAGTACTCACCCGCCCCCCCTCAACACTTTAGTGCTGACCCCCTCTCAGAACTCCCCTCAGAACTTGCGCTCCCAATGTCACAATACGATTCTTTCTCCGGCACTTTGCAAAGGGGCTTTCGTGGCCAAGAAAACGAAAGAACAAACATAGTATACATGCTACCTGATACTTGGCCCTATCGGGGATTTGTACATTATTTGCTTTGAAAGGGAGCTTGAAGGAGACGCGAAAAGCAATTGACAAGTATTTGATGGTTGGCCCTATTGCTTCCCGAGCAGTTTCTCATTCGGCTTCGGGGGGCTCAAGTAGGGGTTTTTGCTGCCTCCCCTCAGGATTCTATTACTGACCCCCCTCAGAACTCCCCTCAGAAATTAAGTGCTGACGGTCTAGTGCTGTCTCAGAAATTGAGTACTGATTTCCCCTTCAAAAAGAAATTGAATGTCTCAAAAATGGAGTACTGACCCCAGAAATTGAGTACGGGATTCCGTTGTCCCCACAGTCCCAAAAATTGATCTGCGCAAGTTCCCTGAGGAATAGTAAGGCCACCTCACACCCTACTTTGAAGTGACGCAGCTGAGACATGGGCCCGCGTGATGGCTGAGTATCGCAAGTTGTGTTTGCCCACTTCGCTTCTCCCCTCGCCTTGTGCGCCATCTGAATCGAAGGATAGCTATCCATGGTTTAATGTCCAGGGCTCTGATGTTATGCTTACTTTGGAATGGTTGGTTGTCATCATTGGCGGCTTTATTCAAGCGCCACTTGATCACCCACTCTTGCGCATGATGCGCCGTGGATGCGAGATTGCTGCTAAATTCCCGCAGGTGCTCTATATCAGCATGGGCTTTGGTCAGACTATGAGTTCCAGCAGACTTCCGCGCAACTGGCAGGTGTCGCTCTTCGGGAACTCAAATTTGCAGGGTGGGCCATGAAGCCAAAAGTGCATTCTTTCAACCACACACTTGTTGAAATAAATCAAAGCTGTCCTGAGGCAAGGTGCCATCAAAATAGCAAACCCGCTCATACACAGCTGTGAGCAAAACGAAGACCTAGTTGGCAAGATTTCAAGATCAAAAACAATTGTTGAAGCGGGTGTTGCAACTCTACCTCGTGAAAGCTCGAGCCCTTCACCGGAGGTATCGAGCCAAGGCCCAGGCCAGCCGAAAGCCGCTGCGGGCAAAGTAGGAGCCAGATCAGCAATGAAGGGCAAAACCGAGAGGTTAATGTACGCTTGAACCGGCGGTTTTCCATGTGGCTTTTCTGAAGCGGCAATTCTTGAAGAAACCACCCAATTTTGCGCAAGCAAGGCGCTGATTTATTTCGCTGTTTCATGCAGTGGCAAAAATTATGGTCCATGGCCACTCGGCCACGTACCTGTAGTGGTAGGAGCGAAAAAGGGCAGGAGGGTGGGAGAGGCATGCAGGGACGGAAATGATGCCGTCAACAGGAACGGGCCCGGGCCATGACAGCTGAGAGTATGCGATGTGACATGGCACGCCCGGCGCTTCCCAATCAAGAATCGCCGCTTCCCTGACAAGATCGCCGTTCCAAAGCAAAACCTACTTGTGCTTAAACAGGCGGTTTTTTGCACCCTTTGGAAGGTGGAGGTATGGATATGTTTTGTTTGAAGTTTTTTTTTTTTTTTTTTTTTTTTGGCGGGGGGGGGGGCAAGGCGAGGGTTTTCGCAAACAAAAAAACAAAACACGTCGACAACGCAGTATGAAGAAAGAGTGACACAACAAACGAAAAAAAAAAGGACAGTAAAATATAAGACTTAGATCATAGTGCTAAAGGTTGTTTGTTAGAAAACAGGTCATTAATTGCACAACCCCCAAACATGGGCGGGGGGGGTTCGCAAAAGTCAAAACCTCGACCTCCCCGTATAAACACCGGACCACGTGTGTCGATGCCTCGAGGCATCGGGCCTCGCCTGGGCGGGTGAAAGCACCGAGAGGCAGGAGGAGGCCACGAAGATCCGGGCGGCGCTGAGGCGCAGTCGGGTCCCTTCCGCGCCCACTTTGAAGCGACTGGAAGCCGGGTGGTGGGGACAGGGGTCACGAAAAGTGTCTCGTTTTTGGAGCCAAAAAGTTGTTTTCGGAGCCAAAAGCGGCAGTCTGAGCGGAATCCACCAGTGAATTGAACGACTTTTGAAGGGGGAATCTGATCGGAAATCCAGCGACCCTTGTAGGAAACCCAATGTTCAAAACACAATGACGGATCGGAGTGGTTTGCTTGACCCCAACTGGAGTTGGGGTTGAAGGCGACCAAAAGGAGAGCCAGCATGTTGGATGTCGCCCCAATGTCGCCACTTTGACCCAGCTTCCGGCTGACTGGATCGGTAGACGCCACTGCTGCGTGCTTTTATTTATGTCAACCAAAAGCAGATTATGCTGCTTGCACGCTTCAAGTTTCTTGTGCCCCAATGGCCCCGTTTTCCTGCCTTTCGCCTTTTTGTGGGTCAAAGGCATAGAAATGGGGTTCGTTGGGTTTACGAACCCTTTATTTACCCCCTATGTAATTCTTATTTGTTGTTTACGTTCAGGTCCAGCGGTCTGGTGGTGAAACCTTCAATTCAAGCTTCTGAAAGATTCGTTCAAGCCGCCAAACTTGCTGGGGAATCAACAAGGGTCTTGGGAAACCAATGAGATCTGGGAAACAAAAGGTGGATGGTTCGGTTCGTTCCCAAGCAAGCCCAAGGGTTCCCACGAGCAAATCGCGAGGACTTACCCTCCCTCCTAACCTGGGACCTGGCAGTCCCTTGAAGAGGAAATCAAATGATTTTCCAGGTGCCCTCCCACCCCCTCCTAACCTGACACCTGCCAAGGGTTGAAGCGGAAATTTATCTTCCAGGCCCCACTGCCTTCTGAGCATCTAGTCCCTTGAGAAAATTGATCTTCCAGGTACCCCGGAGGGCCTCCCACTGCCTTCTGCTGGGAGGAAGGGTCAACCCATGGGGTTCCGACTCCGTTCGAAGCCGTGCAGTCGGAGCTCTGAAGCGCCGTTGCAGTTGGAGCAGCGGGAGGAGCGCGTGCCGCGGCCTGTCGGCTGCGCGGCGAGGGAAGGGATGTGAGCGCTCGGGGTTGGCCCCCCGACACACAAAAGTTCTGCTCAGGTGGTATATGGGTCTGTAATAAAATGGGGGAACCCTCCCAACTAAATAAATAGATAAATAAATAAATAATTTAATAAAAATAATGAATGATAATAGTGCTTTCCTTTTGGGGTGGGAACCACAGATCATACACCCCCAACAGCCCAACAGAAGCCTCAGAAACCCTTAAAAGCAACCCTCCCAAGACGTTCCGAACCGCCCATGGCAGCGCTGATTTGGGCAAGAACCTAGTTTCTTTCCTTCAATATATCCTTTCAAGCAGAAGAGTTCGGCCAAGTTTTCCTTATGGGATGTCTCGAAAAACGGAGTTCGGGACCGGTCCCCCGCAGGGTAGAGAGTGTTGATTCCCTGAATAGTGCAGGTAAACCAGCCGTGCCCCACCACTCAGTAAACTAGGTAGCCGGCTGTCTTGCCGCCCTTGCGAACGCGCGATGGACATGTTGAACTGCGTTTTACGGTGTATTCTGATGTGTCTTATTTTGGGGGCTCCAACCCACGGTCCTGCCAAGCCTGCCGCAGCGCGTCTTTGCGACACGATGTAGAACGTTAACATATGTGCCAGCATGTGAGCATGTGAGCGTGCCGCGCGTGGACGGGCACGTTAACATGTGCCAGCATGTGCGCAAGTAACCATGCAGCGTGTGGACGGGCACGTTGACGCGTAACAACTGGTATAATATGCCACAAAAAGCAGTACATTTGCAAATTCCTGCACAAATTACGCGGAAAAAAACAGACCAAAACCTGTGTTTCAAGGCTCATGAATGGCAAACAAACAGGAGTGTTGCGCGCAAAAGCATAAAATGAACGCTGGCGTGGAAGGAAGAAGCGCACAAACGTGGGTTTTTGAGAGTCCGCATCAAGAGAAGGGGGCAGTTGCCAAACATAGGGTTTGGGCGGCGGGTCAGCTGGCTGGCGTAAACTACCTTGTTCAAAATTTCCATTGTCCTGCTAGATGAGCGATTGCCGCCTAGGAGTGACTCTTAGTGACCAGTGACTACGAGCGCCCATTAAGGTCGAGGGCTATCACCCTCCCATGGCTTTCCTTGTCATGGCTCTGAATAGTGGTTTGGGACAATTATCTCCGCCTACATGACGTCCACTAAAAGGCCCCTAGTTGAGTTCTTGCACAAGCGGTGGCTCAAAGCATTGGTACCCAAATAAAGCATTGGTACCAAATGGCACCTTGGTACATAAAACCAAAGACTAAGACCTGCGTAAACCCTGGCTCTAACTAACTTTGAGCCACACACGATTGGCCATGGGTCAAAACCCCGTACCCAAATCCAGTGAACATCCCAATCCCCACTAGAATAGGTTCTAAAATGGGTGGTGCACCTATCCCAATATGGGATCCGATTGGTTTTGACCCACACCCAAGTCAGCATTTCATCCAGGCTTGAACACTGTACAGCTGCTGCGGAGTGCCAGCAACGCGCTGAACCTGGGCCCAAAGCAGGCGATGTGAAAGGGGTCCCAGTGGAGGACGTTTTGTTATTATTGGTGGTGGTAGTAGTAGTAGTAGTAGTAGTAGTAGTATCATGATTATTGTTATTATTATTACTATTATTATTATGATTATTATTATTATTATTATGTTTTTTTGTGTAATACCTTTTATGTCACTTGAAGAGTTCTTCGGGTCCCAGGTTGCCGGCTGAAAGTCGATAGGAATGGTGCCATCTAGTTTCACCCAGCAAAGTCCTACTGCACCTAGCTTCACATCGGATTTCGTTTGAACCGATATGTCTTAAGGTTCACATGGACCTGAAATATGTTGTTGGGTCTGGGGGGAAAGCGAAGGAAGCTAGACTTGTGAGGAAGGCCATGGAAGGCCATTGAAGTGGTAAAGAACACCTTTAGACATTTTGGTCAACCCATTCAGGAAGTGAGGCATGGGCGATGGCCATGAGTTTTGACCTGCATGTGTTGGTCCAACGTTTAATTGATTTTCCTTGAGAGACGCGCATAGGGGCCGGGAAGAAAGGCAGCCCATGCTATTTCCGGGGGCGGCTCCTGTCCCGCTTTATTTGATGTGTTTCCTGCAACTAGGAGACATAGGGCTGCTCTTGAACGCCGCCAGGGTTTCGTCAGGCCTCCCCTTAAGCACCAAGCAAACGGGGGTAGAGTTTTACTGACATGGTTCTCCCATCATCTTGAAGGAATTTGGTGAAATTGTACCGCTAATTATTTAGGTGCTTGTGATACCCAGTTCTATCCACTGGCAACTGCGGCCCACGACGTGCAGGCCCTGTGGGGTTAAGTCCCCCCCATGTGAGGTTCGGTTGACATATCCAGGGTTCGTAGGATGTGGGGGGACTTACTAGTTGCCTGCAAAACCCCTGGGTTTACATGTTGTTCCATGCCATTGAGTCAAATGCATACTTTGGAAAGCGGCTCATGTGTCCTTTTTTTTTCCGAGCAAGCACCAGGGTGATGGTAAAGATATGCTGGCCCCCTGATGAGTTGGTTTTATCATGTCCAGGCCTGGCCTACCTTTCTAACATTTCGACCTTCTGGTGTTCCTTCATTTCCCCTTCTAAGCAACAGACTAACTTGTTTTGCGTTGGCTCTACAAATTTGGCCCAATCATGTGTTGTTTTTCAAGCATCCCCATAAAGACTTCCTAGGCTTTACAGTACAGGGCAAGGAGCTCTAAACCGGGCTCCAAAATGGGGGATGTCTTTGGACCCTTTGGTGACTCTGTACGGAAAATCGTGTTGCCACCCTTTTGGTTAAGTATTGATTGGCCTGTCCAAGTTGATCAACCTATGGACCTTTTTGATAAGGCAACCTTTCGGGTGGATTAGATGGACAAAACAGGAAGACCCCTCATTCAAGGGTTGCACCTATGAGGCAAACCCGCAATGAGGAACGCACTATATTGCCAGTGTATAGGTTTCGCAGGGGACTATCAGTTTTGCAGGTTGATGGGTATCATTTCTGTGTACGTATTACTCTATCGGTTTCTTGTGGCCATATAGCTATGAATTTATTGGGGAAAATGGGGGGGGGCAAACCCTCCCCAATCGAAATTCACAGCCATATTGTTGTTTGTTCATTGTTCACATACTTGTCAAATACTGTTAGGTACTCATATGGGTTTGTCTCCAAATTGGCACATGTTTTGAAGTTGGTTTTCGTCGTGTTCGCTTTTAAGCAACATTCAAACGGGTGGTTTGTGCCAACATAGGGGGGGTCCGCAGCGTGTACTTCTGGTGTCAAACCAACCTCCCAAACGGCCAGCTCATATCCTCGGCGCCGTTTTGGTTTTCGCATTTTGACCCACAAAACGGAGGCCATGAAGCTCGCAGAGGACCTCTACTCCAAGGGCCTCATCTCCTACCCCCGCACGGAGACCACACGCCCCGTGATCCGAAGATACCTGTGGTTGAGATTCGAACACCCATACTATATTGTATATAAGCATGCTGTATCTCCCTGTGTATATGTATATATTTATATATATATATATATATATATACAAAGTTGTGGAAGATTAATTAGCTTCCCAGTTCAGTGGTATCCACTCTCTAAATCCCCTTGCTGAACGTGAACTCAACCCCGGAGAGAAGTGGTTGCAATTTTCATTCTGAGGTCACTGGCCCATTGGGTTCCTGAGGTTGGGGTCGCCATGTTGACATATGAGTATGGGTCAAAGATAAACCACCAGGGGACCACAGATTGTACTCCTTGTTTCCATTGGGTTCCACTTTGGGCACCAATGTTTGCCCCACACCCATATCTTGAAATTTATTTCCCTAGAGGGTGATGTTCAAAGGGGACATAAGGAAAAGCACGTCAGCAGGTTTGCTTCAAAGGTTTGCAGGCAGGTCTCCTGCGTTGCGCAACTTGCTTGCCAACTGGAAATCCCCCCTCATGAGGGTTGGCCTTCTTGGAAACCCTATCTTCGTCAGCAGTGCCCAAAACCGTGATTGACAGTTTCAGCAGCTTCTACTTCCAGGGTTTCATGGTGATAGTCAGACCTACACAAGGCTTGCTCACCATTTGGCCAGCAAACCCTAAACCCCTGAACCCCTTAACCCCTGAACCCCTTAGCCCCTTAAGCCCTTAGCCCCTAAGCCCTCGACCCCTTAAACCAAAAGTCCAGAGGTGCACACGGACGCAGCCCCCGGCCGAGGCTACCACGAGACCTTCGACGCCAGCGTGCCGCTGCGGGCGCAGCAGCGGTCGACCCGCTGGGGTCGCAGCGCTGCCAAGGCGCTCGGCGCCTGGAAGGCGCTGAGCCAGGTGCAGAGCCGCCGGGCGCCTCGCGCGCGGAAATTCGACTCAACTCGGTTCTCGATTCGATTCGGTTCGGGGGGCCGTGGATTTGGATTTTGGCTGGCTGGTGCGATGGGGAATGAGAATTGGAATGAACACCTTGGCTTTGGCTTTTTAGGAAACCACCATTTGGATGGTTTGGATTTGCTTGCTGGATCAGGGTGGGGCGACTTTTGGGTTAAACAGCCAGACCACAGAGCAACCAACAGGAGTTTTGGTCAAACCGCAGGTGTTGCCTGCTGGTGCGATAGGAAAGGGCATGAGAATTGGACCGGAATGAAGCCAGGCTTTGGCTTTTTAGGAAACCACGTTGGATTTGCTTGCTGGATCATGGTGGGGCTAGACTTGTTTAAACAGCCAGACCACAGAGCAAGCAACAGGATGTCAAGCAGCAGGTGTTGCCTGCTGGTGCGATGGGAAAGGGAATGTGAATTGGAATGAACCCAGGCTTTGGTTCCCTAGGAAACCACCAGTTGGATGGTTTATAAGGGGTCATTCCCTTTCTCATTCCCTGCCTATCGCACCAGCAAGTTTGGTGTCGTTCTTGCGGGGTTGCCGGAATGTTGCCCACTCTCGTTGGGGATCTCTAGGTTGCCTTTGTCCACTGTAGCTTCGGAACCAATGAGCAGGGCTAGGACAGGGAAGAAAAGCAAGTATGGGTGGTTTGTCCGCCTATGCATTGGGAATGTCTTCTTATCCCCAGTGACCAGTTCGGTGGACTCCACCCTGTTCCCGTTTGAGGATAAAAGAGCCGTGACGAAGGCCCGTTACTCGGATGAAATTAATCGCCCTCCCACCAATGAACATGGAACCTGACGTTCGGGACCCGGTCCCTCGAAAAGGAAAATGGTCCAAACCAGCACCCCCCCGGTCAGGTTCAATTTGAATTTGTGGGATTTGCTCAGTGAGATGATGTTCACCAGTAGAGCCGCTCCCCATCCCCATCTCCCACTCAATTAATGTATAGGGAGGCATGACGAGGGCCCTCTTTATGCAACTCCCATGTTTGCCGGCTAACTTGCCAGTTGGAGGAGGGGATCTCTACCCCAGGCAAGTACCCCCAAGAAAACTTGTGATACCCTTACGTCTTTGTAAAGAACACAGGCATTGGCGACCGCATGATGAAGGTTCTTGGAAGGTTCCTGACTACTAATGTTGTGATGAGTAGCATCAGTACTCGTATTGCCTTTACTACTATAGCATCAGCGTCGGGCAAGCTACAGAGCGGCAAATCCATACTGACTTCTGGGAACTTGGCTTGGTCCCCCCCCCAAAAAAAGAAAAACGCATAGTTGCGCTTGGTTTTGCTTGTATCCCCGCTCAGAGGGAACAACGAACAGACCTTATTTCGATTGCTTTTGCCAACCCGGAAAGCTGAGTTCAACACACCGTCGTAGATGGTAGACATAGATCCGGTAAGTCAGGTCCCCCAAAGCATGCCCAATCCAGATTCATCCCCGGGTTCACAAAAGGTGGGGCTTGCTTGGGCTTCCTCGTTGGGGCTCATGGGAAGCCTTAAAAGGGGCTAAATCATGTGGGGGGGGGTGTGAAGTGCCCCACAACCCTATTCCTAATTATTTCGGCCCGCGTGCCCCAACTAGTAGAACACACTTTTTTGGTAGGTTTTTCTGCTTTCATTTTTGGGGCAGAGAATCCATATTCCCTACAGAGCCACAATCAAAAACCCTGTAAGTGCGGACACCATTTAAATGTTTTGCTTGGCTTGGAACTACAATTTACACACCAGGGTTTGAGTATGACTATAGAGGGGCTCTGGGTGAAATCTACCATCCGCGGGCTCTCCCCCTTCCCCCCCGCCCGCCCCCGACACCTTCGCAAGGCCCGGGACGTGGGGGACCACCCGCCCATCGTCCCTCTGCGCCTGCCGCAGCGTGGCGAGCTGCGCGGCCAGGACTCGACTCGACCTCTCAGGGATTCGGACGACTGCCGCAGTTGGGAAGACCAGCTGAGTTTGGTTCAAAACCAATGGGATCCCATTTTGGGATAGGTGAATTCTCCACCCATCTTAGAGCCTATTTTAGTGAATTTTAGTGGGGATTGGGATGTTCACTGGGGGTACGGGGTTTTGACCCATGGCCAGGTGGGTTCGGTTTGGCGAGCTTCCAGACCAGAAGTGGGTTTCCTGAAGGTCCAAAGTGACATCCTTACAATGACCTTCTAAATGGGGTTGTATTTTGTTTGGAGGGCACCCAATTTTGGGGAATGGTTCTAAGAGGAAGCCAACCATTTTGCTTGTTCCCTGACAAAAAGGATACATGTGGAGAATATCTCACACCAGTTTCTGGACTTCGCAAAAATATGGCACCCCGGGCCAGGCACAAGAGGTGACCTGTTTTTCGGGGAAAAGATACCATTACCTGCCGAGACGAACGAACGAATCCGGGTCTCTGAGCAATGAGCGCGCGACCTTTAGGGAGTTTGGGGGTGGCCAAATGAAAAAGCACAGCAACAACCTGTGTGTGTGTGTGTGTTTGTGTCCTGCTGAGACGGACCCAGATTGCCAGGATATCGGTTTTGGCGGAGCCCCTCTCGGATTTGCAGGTTGATGAGTATCAGTTGTGGGCAGTCCCTTGCCAGTTTTTGTTCGTGGCAATGTCGGGTGTTCATATTAGGCAGTTGGTCGTGTTGGCTTCCCTTGAACATTGTTTCCTTTTGGTTTCCCCTTTCAGGCGTGCAACAAGGGGTATTGGAGACAAACGCGGGATCGCATGATGGCCATGACATTTCATGCCCTCAAACATAGCTGCAACCATGGGCGTGTCCACCAACGGCTTCCCTGGCAAACATGCCGAACTCGCCAACATGGTCCCCATTTTGAGCGGACCTCGTCCACAATTCAACCCATTTTGAGACAGAGCCATGGCGGTTCCCTACATCCAAATAGGGTTCCTTGTTGAACCGACAAACACATCTAGTACTGTGGACCAAATCAAGCACCGTTCGGTGGTGTGTCAACCCCGATTCCTAGGGTTTTCGTCCGTCCAAACTGGCGCGGCATTTTGACAAACATCCACACTTTGTCCAACGATGGTTCTGGTTTGGGCCTTGGAGACCACCCGGGCTAAACCCCTCACTTCGGTCAGCAGCCGGTGCGAAGCGGATTTGTCCGTGTGCGGTGTTTTTTGGGCACCCTTGTTCAGATTGGTCAAATAAAGGAAATCCAAAGGACCCCATCATGTTTAGTACCTTCCTATGTCATACATGCCCATCTATGTCATATTAAGAGGTTCATGCCTGAAGCCATTTGTCCCTTGGGTTTATGCCGGTTGCCAAGGTTGCTTGATTGCTTGTGTCTTCCATTCTCCGGTTCCTCTTTTTTGACACATATGTACCGTGGACAGAATCCGCTTTCCAATGGATGAAGCCCGATTTGAATGCTTGAGAATCGTTTGGGTAGATGGTAAATTGGCAGCCCCCCCGAACCACTCCAAACCACCGATTGGAGGGAAGCTGAATTGGTATTTTACTCCGCGTGGAAGGAGAACAAGCTCTACGACTTCGTGTCTCAGCACTTCGTCGCCTCCTGGCTGGGAGATGCGCGGCTACGACGCCACGAGGCGGGTAAAACGTTCGCCCTGAGACGGCGCGATGTCGAAGCCCCGGGCCTGGGTTTGGATCCGCGGAGGCGGCAAATCAATGGACACCAGAACAAGACCCGCCGTTCCTGAAGAAAGATGTTTCCTAACGGATTCCTTTTAGGGCGGGATCAACCTGCATGCCTTTTTTGCTGGAGTAGCCCCACCCCGGGGATGGAACGCACCCCGAATAAGGAACACGCACACATGAATTGTCGCGGGGGAACTGTAGAGGGGGGCAGCAAGCACTCATCAAAAGCGCCTCAGTCACAATCACACTTTGCTGAGGATGAAGGTAAGGGGCCAGTCCCAGATAGACCTCCAAACAACGCAAGACTGCGATGCAATATTGTGACTGCGATTCAGATCGCAACTCCCGTGAGGCAGGCGTGCTTGCCTAGAATCCTCATAATATCTGAAAAGGGTTTTCCGACAAATGCCAAATCAGTGAGAACGCACCCTGCTCCAAGTATGCTTTCGGACCTGCAACCAGAAGGCAACAAGCCCATCGAAGAACCGTGTTGGGGACGAACAGCATCCCCCTCGAACAGGTCGATCTGTCCGGCCCTTTAAACTCGTCCCACAGACGATCAACAACTTTTGAGAGCCATCGACCTAGAGTTGTCATCAAGGAACGGTCCTCTCTGCAGTTCATACTGCTTGGCATAGCCTCTATTCTGGATGGCAGAAACATTGGGGCTCTTTCTGGTGTTTGGGCGGGTTGCTTCCAACCTCAGTTGACCAAAGCCGTAGAACATTGGTCGGAACTCTTCGATGTCCGTTGCCCACAGACCAAAAGTATATCCTGGGCTTCTGCAGCAACCCTGTTGGAGGGAATCAGCGAGTTCAATGCAGCACTCACTGTTGATTAAATTATATATAATGCATTCCTATTTGTGTGTGCGTGCCCAAACTGGCGACTGATCGTTTTGCAAGGATCATTCACTGCACGATATGTTTGCAACGCGTTCCTTGAATCTCGAAGAGAATGGATGCTGACTGACCCCTTAACTTAGTTGATGCCCTTTCCAAGTCATGCCCATTCACTTCCTCATTGGCTTTCAGCCCGCAAAGCGCGCGCTCAACCAGCCCCCACCCAGCGACCAGCCCAAATGATTTGGAGAAACGCCAAGAACCTGCAGTCACTCGGAGCACTCCCCGCATCGGACAGCACGCACCGGGACCTGAGCTGCTGCCCTTCCGCCCGCGAGCAACGTGGTGCCCTGTTTGGGGACATGGACACCACCAGGTCAATGGGGTCGGGGCAGCCTCTGCCCTCTTGGAGCATGCGGCAAACAATGAAGTTGAAAGGTTCAGTACCTGCAGCTCAGCGCCCTCGCAAACTATTTCAGTTTGCTCCTTAAAGATGAGCAGACCTGGGCAGATTATTGTAACATCTTTGTCGGTTTCCTTTGGTAGGCTGCCAGGGTCTAAAGGGAGCCTTTGGAGCAATTCGTGGTATCATAAAGCACATGGGTGCGTCATGGAGCCTTCGGAGCCTTTGGAGCCTTTGGAGCCCAGGCGCAGGTCATGTTGCCTTTAGACATCTTCTCGTCTCGATGGAGGCGCGACTTCAGATTGATGGCTTCGAGTTCCAGCTGCAGATCAATCTGGTGGAGGAGACTGGGTTCTATGGGCCCCCCCAACACCCCCCCCCACTCTTTGTGGGTTTTAGGTGCCGCTGCCCCAATCCCAGGGGATAAACATTGGACTCAAGCTGCCGACAAGTTTTTTGGGGCATTGGAATCCGTGGTCGCCGGCTGGGACCATGGTGTGAGAAGGCCTTGGATTTCACTACCCTCCCAACTTACATTGTGGAAAAAAGGGCTTCCAGGCCCTGATATGTTTGGTCAATGTTCATGTTAGGGGGTAGGGAAACATTGGGTACGTTCAAAATTCGACTAGCATCAGTCTTTGTGTTGAGTCCACCTGGGGGCAATCAAAACACTCATATATCCCAGATTGGTTTGATGGCCAAACCCGAACGGAGCTGAGGCTTCATATGGCCGCCTTTTGGTCCTACATGATATTGCAAGCCTTGGGTTTTACTGGATTCATCACTTCAATTGAACAGAGACCCGTGTTTTTTCTCACCAAACGGAGGCGGTCTTGAGCCGCTTCTGTTGGCGGTTAGGACAGCGGGTGGCTGGAGGCTATGCCTTGGCGCCTCAAGGAGCTGTCGCTGGATGAGGACTCCCAACGTCAGGCGCCGATGCGGCGCGAAGCGGAGGAATCGGCTCCCGTGAATCGATCCGAGCTCGGTAAACCCGGGACGGCTGGTTTTTTGCGACGAACGGATGGCAGATGAGCGGGGGTTGTCTATTTCACAAAACAAGAGAGTGCAAAACAAAAAAAGCAAACGAGAGGTTTTTGTTTCGCAAAACGGAAGGAACCCAAAAAGGCCCCGCGAATGATGGCCTAGGCGCGTATGGCCTATTGCAGGCGACCAAGCGCCTGGCAGCGCTGCGGCGGATGGGGAGCTCGGTGCCGCTGCGGCAAGGGCGGCTGCTGGAGAGCCACACGGAAGCCCCCAGGCGAGTTCCACGTCGCTTCCAAAATCAGGTGGCTGAGGGTCAAAACCGATTTGGGATCCCATTTTGGTTGGTAGGTGAATTCTCCACCCATCTTAGAACCTATTTTAGTGGGGATTGGGATGCTCACTGTGGGTACGGGGTTTTGACCCATGGCCAGGTGTCTGAGGGCCAAAAATCGGTGAACCGCAACATGGACCCCTGGCAAATGGAACCAGGGACTAAAACCAGCAGTCCACTGTTGGTTTAAATTTGACCCATACTCATGTGTTCCTGGTCTTGAAACTGCTTATATATATATATTGGTTCTTTTCCCTTGTTGGTTTTAAAAAGAATCTATCACTACTGGACATATATGTTTATTTTTCCCAGGCGGCTCAAGCAAATGGAAGTTGTAAGTATGAAGATGTCTCTCATTTCAGGGGTTCCTCGTAGATATTGCCACTAGAGTCCATCTTAAACAGCACCTGAATGGGACACAATCAAAACCCAAGATGTCTACCCAAAACAGTGTTGCTCCCAATCTCTGCCCAGAGCTGGGGTCTCCTCCAAAAATATGTTGCATTGGTTGACTATAATGTGGACATATGATTGTTGCACCCCAGACATAGGCCAAGCTTGAGGGATGTCAGCTTTCGGAATCCGCCTGATTGATATTGTCTGGATTAATCCGAAGTTTACAGGGTGCAAAATATGTTGAGCGGTCAACACAGAAGCATGACCCCTTCAAAGGGAAGCCAGACGGAGGTTGGCTGAACAATAGTGGTACTAGCGTTGAGCACTAAGCAAGAGGCCAACCCAACCCTGCAAGGGCCTAAATAGTTCAATTTCGGGCCGAAGGAATCAGACTTTGCCGGGACAAGCTAATTTGACTTATAAGAACATACCTGGCATCACAGTTCATGTAACCTTCTCTCTAAATCTTTTTTGTTTGTTGCCCAGAAATGGTCAATTGCTTCGAAGGGTGTTCTTTCCCCTGGTTAATTTTCCTGTTGCCAACTAAATTACATGAAACCCAGCAGAGGTTCCTGTTAGAGGCAGGAACCCCCAGCGAGGCTGCATGTGAGTTCGTGACCCGCATATCTTTGCTTGAGCGCAAGTCAGGCCTCTGACGGAAGCTGAGCTGGTCGAGAAGATGGACAAGCAGCTCTGAAAAGAGAGTCACCGGGGATGGGTGCCTTTGGGTAAAGATTTTGAGCACCAGTATCGGGTAGAGGGTACTCTTGAGGATGTCACTTCAATGGGCCCAGTTGGATGACTACTGCGCAGATCGAAGGAAGGAAGCCGCAAAGCCTCGATTGATCTTCCAAGGGTTTTTGTCCACCTTGCGGCATGACATCGGTCAAGTGAAATGAGACGTCATAATTCGTTACCCTGATCCCGGTTACCACTATAGTACAGCAGCAGCAACATTCCCTTCAGCACTCCTGCAGATTGACAAAGAGCGCGCAAAACCATTCATGTTTAGAAACTCCTTTTGGATTTGGAGCACCCCCGCTTTTGGGTTCCACGTTAATGTCCAGGGGAACCGCCAGTTCTCAAAAGGGAACGCGGGGTTGGGCAAGGAGGTTGAGATAGTGGCCGTGCGTGGGAGGGTTGTCTGATTTGTTCGCGGTTGGCCACAAAGGTGTTCCAGGCGTGGCAGCTTGCCGGAAGGGGTTTGGGTTGTTCGGACAGATCCAATCGGGACGAAACAAAGCTGGTATGGTTGCCTTCCCGTTTGGAGGGTAATTTGGAGGATTTCGCTTTGATGAGCGCAGTGACAAGTAGCGATCCTCTTTTTGAACACCCTTCTGAAGGCACCGGAACAGACATCTCTCCCTTTCTCCAGCCGTTTGGTAGCTGTCGTAGCATCCAACCCACCAACACCTGTTATGAACCCCGGGAAAACCCACAAACCACAGTTTTCCTGCAAATGGCCTGAATGAGCCCGGAAAAGGCTGTTGCGACGGAAAAGCATTCTATGAAGCTGACAAAACTGAGGAACGGGATTGGCACTGATGCTTCCATCCCACAGCATATCCAGACCATCCAGGACTGAATTACAAAGGGACAGGTTTCACTGACCAAAGGCTTACCTGTTTAACATGGTCCCACTTTTTGTTGGGTGTCCCGTCGATTTCCTTTGTCAGCAAGACATATCGAATATCTTTTCGGGGCCAAGTCCAGGATTGGATCCGAGTCGTTGAGGCTTTTGGGGTTTGGTGCAGTCTTTGTGCTTGTCGAAGGAGTTCTTTCGCCCTTGGATGCTTGGACGCCAGCTCCTTTGTATTTTCCATGTGAGAGGGGCGTATTGGGACTCCCAGAACATGGAACCCAGAATTCCCAAGGAGGTTGGTCCAGGGTCAGGTTCCATGTTTCACAGGATGAGAGACGAAAAGACTATCACTATTCTTCGTGGTTCCCAGCCATCCCCTTAGGTTTTGAGCGCTTTAGGGGGAACGGCCCAGTATTCCCCGATGATTTGTATGAGATTTGGTTGTGAAGTACCTTACGGTGCTCCAGATATTTAGCCCACTAGATGGTTCCATTTCAGGTTGGAGCATTTAGCTTGCGACAGTCTCAGCATTGGGGAGTGGCGCCAAAGATCAAAGTTATGCTTGGGCAGCTCCAGACGACCTCTTCAACTAGCCAAAAGCAGGCAGCCCAATGTTCAACCTGTATGTGGTCTGTATTCTGAGCCCACATTTTGTTGTGCATCTTGTGGGGTTGTTTAAAGGAAATCCCGAAGGAACTTATCTATCTCTGGCAGGGGGGGGGGCATTGTGAGAGAGCCATTTGAGCTGCAGTGAATTCAGCTTGCAGTCATATCCCCCGGCCCCCCACTTTTGAAACTAAGTTGTTACTGCAGATTGCTTGTCCTGCGTTTTCAGGCATGTCATTGTCTACGGACTGTTTGCTAAGGACAGTGGCCTACGATCGCCAAACACGATTTACGTGCTCCCTTGCAAATGAAGACAGAGCCCCAACAACACATTATTTTATTTAAAAAAAAAGAGTTCAGAGGAACCCCCGTTTCAAACAACCCACTTGGGGTCCCTGGAAATCTGAGGGCATTGGTTGGTCTTTGTCCCGCGAACAGGCAATGGACTTGCACGCCTCACGACTTGTTAGCCCGGCCGTAACGTGGATCATGGATATGTGCCAAAACTAGGACCCCAAAATGGCGGATGTCCTTTGGCTTCCCTTCAAAACCACAACCAAAGGGTTTCCTCAAAAGAGACACACCCACGCAAGGAATTGCATAGGCTGCTTTTACCAGAGGAGTTTCCTTTTGAAAACTGCACAAGGTTGCTGCCACTCTCAAAATGACCAAACAGCGTTAGGGTAGGAATGATGCAAAATAGATGCTGTTATTCCTGTTCCAGGCAGCATCCTCACCCCCCTTACAGACTCTTAAGAGTCTTTGCAGTGTGCACTTCCATGTTGACTTCTCCTAGGACCGAGGCTACGTGCAGCTGTGCGATGGCAACATGGAGCCCATTCTGCCACCGCGATTCGGGCCAGGGCGGCCTAAGCAGCAGAAGAGACATGCGCCGGGAAGGTACTTGGCACCTTGGGCGCAATGTCAACTTCGGAAGCTAGACACGGGTGCTCGGAGCGTTTGTACTTGAATGAAAGTAGATAGTACAATTCCCCCGATGTGGGTCCGTCATCCCCTGTGCTTACAGACATAAAGGAATTGTGCCATCTTATTTCACCTGTAAGTGATGACCATAGTAAAGATAGACATTTACGAAGCGGTTTCCTTTAGCCTTTGCCAGGCAGATACTATCAATCCTTGTGCCCCCAAAGTTGGACATCAAAGGGACAGATTTCAGCAATCCAAAAGGTCAAGTCACTATCTTGGGTCAAATCCGGGGTCCACCCAAAATATGCTATTTCACACGCAGTGGTTCTTAATGTGCAAAATAATTTGGACGAGACCCCAGGTTGCTGGGAGCGAAACTCCCTGGAACAGTTCTTTGACTGAGAAGGAGCTGTGGTCGAAAGACTTGGATTGAACCTTTGTTGGGGGTAGGGCAGCTAATGTTTGAATGAGCTTTTCTTGGGTGTCCATTTCAATCACTTTGGTGTTCCCATCAAAAAGGACCCGCCCCTAGCATGAAGTTCCATGGGGGACCTTTTGGTTGACATCTTACAGCACATCGGACTTTCATGTACCACAGGGGTGCTCCATTCGCAAGCGTTACAAATCAGAGGAACCACCACAGAATGAGGGAATGCTACTCCAAAAGGGGCAGACGAGCTCACCATCATTTGTTTGATCCTTCAGACACTCCCTCCCCCCCTCAATTTCCCTTTGACCTCAAGCAGTTTCAATGGAACCCACCAGTAAATTTTCAACTTTCGGATTGGAAAAGCGGCTGTCACTCACTTGCTCAAAGCTGACCTGAAATGACCTTTTGTTTTTCCCATGGCAACTGTTTTTTAGCAGAGATGCCAAAAGGTGCCCAAATGGAGCCTTTGGATCTCATGTTCACCTTTCAGCATCTCTACGGTATTCTTTTGGTTTCCCCTTGGATATCATGTTCAGTTTTAGCATCTTTTCGTCTCCCATGTTGCTAGGGGTACCTTCCCCATTCTTTCCAGGCATGCTTCTTTCTAGAAAACCTCCGGAAACCCAGGGAAAACGGATCCGGTTTGAAAGAAGGATGGTTGAAAAGAATGGCAAAGGAGTCAACCCCTAGAATGTTGCGTTCCCCTACTAAAACAGACTACAGAAAAAAGTCGGGTACCCTTCCAACCTCTCTCTACTGGACCTAATTTCGTCTCCCATGTTGCCAGTTCCTTTTCATTTCCCAAAAACAACCCCCCAAAAAAAAACAAAAAAAAACAGCCAAAAAAAAACAGATCCTGCGGCTGAGTCTTCGAGCCCAACGAGTCCCAGGTGCCCACAGCTCGTGGCCTCGCCCTGGTGGAGGGCCTCAGCGCGCTGGATGCCTCCCTCTGCCAGCCGGAGGCGCCCGTCGGAGTCGCTGCCCTTTTTGTTGGGGCACCAAAGGGAAACCGAAGGGGTCTGTCTTCTTTAGGGGGGAACCCCCCCCAAAAAAAAGAAGGAAAGAACAAGCGAAGCGTTTTTTCTTGTTTCTTGTTCTTTTCTTTTTTTCGGGGTTTCGCTTAACAGGAGATCCTGATTGTTAGTTTCGCGATGTGTTGTTTGCAGTGTGGTTACCGTTACCAACTGTTGTTGCTCGAAGAGCGTGCTGCCAGTGATTGTTTGAAGTACAGATTTACTGGGGTTCTGTTTGATGACTGCGCCATGTGTTTACTCCTTTTGCTTCATTAGTTTTCCGTTGTTGGTTGGTTGATAGGTTTGCTGGCGTTGTTTTGAGTGCTGCGTGCCATGAGATGTGATGGTTTTCCACGCTTGTTCTTCTCGGCTTGTTCCAAACCACTTCACGAGTATTCGCACGTGTGTTAGGGGGTGGGGGGTGCAACGAGCAACCTGTTCCACGGCTAGTTACTTGTTGCTTCTTTCTGTATTTGTCTATAATCCTTTACCCAATCCACATTTGGGTGTAGGTCAAAATAAAGGCACCAGGGGACCGCAGGTTTTGATCCATGTTTCCATTTGCCTGGGTTCCATTTTGGGTACCGATTTTTGACCCACAGCCAGTTGTCTAAGCATTAAGGCTTAACTTCTTCCGCCCCGTTCTGCGCGAAGCGGCACAGGTCCGTGCGCTCATCGAGCAGCAGTGCGCCCAGGTGGCGATGCGCCAGCTGGACCAAGAGGAGGCGAGCGGTTTGGCGGTGGCTGATGGGCTCCAAATGTGACCCTGAACATGCGCGTGTGTGTGTGTGTGTGTGTGTGTGTGTGGGTCATCTTCCCTTTGAATCAACCCTGAAATGTTTGTATTGAAAATGTGTGTGTGTGTAGTCCTTTTCCCTTGAATCGATTTCCAAAGAGGGAAACTGCAAAACAAAGACACGCCCGAGTCTTAGATAAACGTAGGGTAAGAGAAGGATAGGCGCTGTTATAGGTCCCCCTCCCCATGGCCCCCTTGGGGCTCTTTGCTTGGTTAAGTGATGGCACAATCCTCCAATGTTGGTTTATTCATCTCCCTCATTTGCCCACATAAAGGGGGTTGGTGTCATCTACTTTGACTCCGGCTCAAACAATTGGAGGATGGCTTCTTTTGCTCACTCCGTGAGTTCCTAGACTTTATACTTAAGGGGAAGTGGCATCTACATAGTCAACAGAACATTGTTCTACAGCGCGCTCATGATGCTGCTGGTGTCGACCAGTGTACTCTACAAGCGCGTGCAAAAAGTAAAGTGCTGCTGATGGGGAGGGTGTCGACCAAAGTAGCATCCGACATCTACGCTTAGTCAAGGGAAGGCATTGTTCTAGACTACGGCACTGGTGACGCTGAGGGCATCGGCCAATTTGGTCTACGAGGTGGGGAAGTTAGAAGAGGTTTGGGGCCAGTGAAGTTGGAGGTTAGAACAGTTAGAGGTTAGAAAAGTTAGAGGTTGGAGTTAGAGAGAAGAAAGAGGTTAGAGGTAGATGCTAAATTTGTTAGAGGCTAGTTACTAATCTGTCAGGGCCAGGCACCCCCCCCCCATCAGCAGACTCCCCTATCCAGGCACCAAGTCACTACGAACACACCTCGCCCCTTTGCCAGAGGATGGCATGGCTTTGGCAAAGTTTCTGAAGGCCCAGGTTCTTCTGTTTGGGGCCTAGCAGGCAGAGCTCCAGGGGGTCTTTTTTTCCGCGGTGTTTTTGGTGGGCAAAACCTCCCCAGGCTGCACCTTTTGAATCCATAAGGCGGCGCTTCTTAGAATAGTACTCATTTGCAAAATAACAAGCCACCCAAAGAGTGGGTCCACCAAAAGGATGTTCCTCTAAAAGTGATGGGTTTCTGGGTTCCATATACATCGGCAGGGGAGCAACCCAGACTTCCAGTGGTGCCCGTTTAGTTGTTGTCGTGGTTCTTTCTTTTTGAACGGGAAGGAAGGGAAGCGCCCTGTAAAGTCAATTACCCAAAAAAATATTGGACCACCAGGAAGTGGAGCGTGGCTTCTTCGATGTGATTTGTGTCTCCAGGTGTTGCGGCGCAACATCGCGCTCTTCCGAAGCAAGTTCCAGCCTCGTGCCCGGATGGCGCTGTAGGTCGACCTATTTGGGCGCTTAAATGGGGCCCTTAAGCGCGGCCCCTTAAAGGATAGATTTGAGCCAGTTAAAACAAACACTTCCCAGCTCACTGAAAAAACCGCTGTGTAAAGCAGGTGGTTGCCGGATGTATCATGGAAGGAACCCTGTTAGAGTGAACATGTTTAGGGGTGCTCATGATTATTTCCGCGGGGATTTCGAGGACGTCACTTTGATGGACCTGCCCAGTTTGAGGCACAACAAAGGCAAACAGCACGCAGGGGTTGAAAGCATGGCCACCCTGCAACCTTGGGACAGGTCATTCACCATGGCCTTCCTTCCATGGTTCCATTTGTGTTGTACCCCAAGGCAGGGTGCCACTTTTTGACTACCCCAAGATAGACTTAAACCCAGGGAATCCCGTTTTGAGGGTTATGAACCACCCCGGGTTTAAGTCGGTGGTCAAAAGGTCAAAAAGTGGAGCCCTGCCCAAGGGGTTTCCCTACTAAGATCAACCACCGCTGGGCGCCCGAGGCATGTGCAAGGCTCCATCGAGCAGGTCCGTAGCGCCTTCCAGCAGCGTGCGCAGCGGGAGCCGAAGGGAAGGAAGCGCAAGGTCTGGAGAAAAGGAGTGCTGCAAGGATGGCTTTTGCGCTCCTTGAGATTACTTGAGATTACTTGAGATTCCGGCATGGAAGCTCCACTGGAAGCTCCCCCACTTGGCCTCCGCTTGCAAAATTGAACCACTGTCTTCCATTTGGGGGTGGGAGTGTCCATGGAATCGCCTGGGAGATGTGGGAGGGTAATGGAGGTCCGTCGCTTTTTTGGGCCACAAATCAACTCAGTGCCCAGGCCTCTGGCGATGGGGCACCGCGCAGGGGGTGTGTCCCCTCGCGGGAATGCTCCTCTTTTTTGTTTTTTGTTTTGTTGTGAGGAAGCCAAAAAAGAACCCACCATCTAGATGGCTCCTTCAAGAAAAGGAACACACATAGGGTCGACCCGACATTTGAGGCATGAGGGCGGTGAACTTGCTCTTTGGCAAAAGAAGTCCTTACTTCGAGTTGGAAGAAACTGCGCTCCCAGTAGCATAGGCTTCCTCTTGAAAGGGATGCTTTGTTAGCAGGGTTCTGTGCACCTTGCCATGTTTATGAGGATGACGGAGATGTTCACTTCAAGCCCTGACTCCAAAAGGTGTTACCCTGAAAACCTGGCGTTTGCATGTATACCTTTAGCAAGTGGGTATTGTGAGAGGAGGCGGGATTTTGGTAAATCCAACTTCCTAGTGGTAGTTGGGTGAGTTGTGAGGAGATGATCTAGAGTTCTGACAGTTGCACGTGCCGTTGCACGTGCTTCAGACTCCATTCTGGATGTGCTGAGTTGTCGCGCCCTTCCATTTGAGGATACAAAACCATACTTTCAACGTACGGATGTCAACTCGCATGGATGTACTGATTTCCAAACAAAACATGCATTGAGCCGCCCATGCTTACCACGTGTGCTTTGAAAGATCGCGTCAGGAGCTTGTCTGAACCGTGCCAACATGAGTTGGTTTGTCGCCTCGACTTCGGAGCTTCGTGTTTCAAGTAGGGTGTCACTCGGCTGAATGGGTATTGACCGCTCACATGCCAAGGCTGAGCAAACCGAAACTGACGAGTCGGAGGCCGAGAAAACCACTTTCGTTCAGAAAGCCAAGGCGCGGGCCTGGGTTTGGCTCAAAACTAGGGGAATCCCCCAGAATCGTTGCTTTTCGTCAGGTTGTCCGTGAAAACGGCCCCAACAAGGCACCTAAAACAAACACACACACACACACAAGATTATCTTATGTTTTATATAAAGTACCCCGCCCACCAATGCTAACTATTGACTATTCAGGCCCTTGTACCCCGCAAAACAAACACGCCCATGGTTTGCCACGCCGAATGGTTTTGAGCAGCTGTTGGAGGGCACGGATGAGTGTGAGCTGGCTGTTGTGTTTGCAGCTTTCTGCTTGGCTGCTTTTGGCTTCGCCTCAAATCTGCAGCAGAGTGCAAGGTGCAGTTTTCTTATGCACCATGACCAAGCAACAATTTGCAGGGGTGAAGCCTGCCCAATCTGCCACAGATGCATCTACTACAGTCCGTTCTTGGCGAACAGTGCCTGTTTTTGTTTCTTAGGTTTTGCAGGACTCCTGATTGGAGTATTACAACTGTGAGCACTGTTGGCTTATGCTTGAATGGGTGGATGGCAAACCGGCAACTGTGTCTCCGGTTCTTCCTCCTGGTGATTTCCTTTGGTTCCCTTTAAAAACCAAGAGAGGGTCCACCATTTCGAGAAACGCCCATTTAACAAGGTGAGGATTCCGGTTCATGGCCTCAAGTGCAGAGGGCCCCTGTGTGCTTGTTCAAGGAACCATGATTCAAGTCATCGTTCCACCTTGTCCAGAAAAAAAATAAATAGACTTAAAAAAAAAAAAAAAACACGGATTGCAAGAAGAACTTTGCAGCAGGGACCTGCAGTCTTTCGACTGTTGCTCTTTGGCTTTCACAGATCCTGGCAAGATTTGCTGGTGCCCACTCCCGATTCTGGGGTCTTTGATCAGAACATGTATGCTCTCAGGGTGACTAAATATGACTCAGAAACATACGATTTAGTTTAGTGTACCCCAGAGTGGGGTCGAGCTTCGTGATTGGTCGATAGGCGGGAGTCTTTTTGGTTGGGACCCTGGCCCTAGCCTTTACTCGGATGCTTGAATCAGCGGCTTTTGGAGGCTTGGGCCGGCTGCTTCACCAAGACTGTCAGCAACTGAAGAGAGAACCTGACTCCATTTTTGTGTGGAAAGAGGGAGACAGGATACTGGCTTGTTGTTTTGTTGAAACCCTTTGGTGGACATTATGACGGGCATGTATGTCTCACCATTCTGGAGGGCGCCCAGTTTAAAAATCATAGCAAACCTGTCTTGCCAGCTCCAAGCCTGTTTTTGATCTCCACTTCGCCTTTTGGTTTCTTGCCCCGAACACAGGGCCGGTTTTTCTTCAGCTAGCCGCCCGTCCCAGCGCCGCTTCAAGAAGTACGGCCTCTCCAGCCTCGCCACCATATTCAAGAAGAAAAGCCCACAGAGCGAGGCGCACGCCGCATGCTGTTGAGCTGAGTCACAATGTGTGTGCACTAAGGGAACCGTTTTTGGGGTTGGTTGAAAGGACAGCCAAGGGAAGTCCATTTTTTGCCGGGGTGTCTCGCTATTTTGACACACACACACCAATCAATCAAAGCCTTTTAAGTCTACCCAAATACATCCAAGAAAGTACGCACACGGCCGGACCGACTTCTGCCTCGGACCGTGGCTTACTGACCAAACCAGGCCCCTGGTTCCCAACTGGAATGACCAAGGTGCTATCTTGCGGATCTTGGCTTCTTAAAGTCCACCTTTTGTTTCCCCGGGTACTTGGCAGTGACTTACCTGAGAGTTGCTCGAAGTTGATGGTTCATTTGGGATCGACATGGACTCTCCAATCTACCCATGTCCAGTCGAGGGTATAGCCCTTTTATGGCCATGGCGCGTGTACAGGAAACAAAGCACCGCACATGCAAGACTTTGAGCCACGCAACTGCCAAGCCCCCCCCCTCCCCCAAGCGCTAAAACCTTACTTGGCAACTTATTTGGCCACGTATTTCAATTGTTTTTCCTCACAGAAAGGCTTTTTGTTTGAGACCTGAGGTGCGAAAGCAATCAACACCCATGGTTTTTCGTACCAAGCTTTGGGGCTGAGCTGGATCCAACCCCGGAAGGGTCTCACCCGGACCTCCGGTGTTTTCTTTGGTTTCTCAAGAGCATGGAGCCTGTTTGGGGGGGTTCTGGAAGACGATTTTTCCTTTCAAAGGGACCCCTGTCAGATTTCATGCTAATTGGTGGGAGGGTACCAAAGAAAGAGTGCCCCATTCTTTCCCATGGCTGGGCTTTACATGCGTGGACCCGTCTGGCACATAGGCGTCCTTTTTAGGTGATTTTCGCTAGGAATAGATGGCGCTGGTTAAGGTTGGTTTTCTTCCATGGACCAGGGCCATCTATTTTCCATAAAAGGACACCTGTGCTCTGGCAGCGACTTGCCCACCCAAGCAGGCCGAAGATGGCGAGGAAGGGGAAGGAGAGGCAGAGGCTGGGCCAAAAAAAGTATCGTCCCGCGGATGTCGCGTATCCAAAACTTCACTGGAGTAGACTTAGGAGACATTTTACGTCTTACCAGCGACTCAAAGGGAAGCAAGCAATAAAGTATACATTCTGCAACTGGGCCGAACTCTAATCATGCTCAGACCTTCAGTGATGCCCATTTGTTCTCTTTCGCTGGAGGTTGTTCGCCTCAAAAGTCAACAAGGGGTGCCATTTGTTCCACAAGTCTGGTCCAAACAATATCTTTTGTGGGTTGGTTCCGAAACCGCTGAACGTGGTTCTGGCCTCATGAGTAAGGTGTCCAGCGTATACGTTTGTTTACACGTGGCTATAACTGTTGACGGAAAGTATCCTCAAAATAATTGGCGGACAGAACTCCCTATGTAAATGTATGTTTGCAAGCTGGTCCCTGATTGAATTCCAATGGGGATGTCTCCTAAAAAATGGGCCATATTCGGCCATATTCAATGGCATGCCTTTAACAAAGCTGGAGAACATGCATTCCTATATGTTGACTTCCAAGAACAGCGAGCATTTGCGTTGAGTAAGCCTTTGAGGCTTTGTGAGTTTGCGCAACTTCGGGTCCTATCAGTCGTGCAGGCAGCTTCATTGGGCTAGCTGGACTGCCAAAGATGGTGGGCCCCAATGCGCAAAATGTCATTTTGCTCTGCCTGTCGTTTGCTGGTCCCCAACAGGGGAATCCCGGCTGCGCCAAAATCAAAGCCTATGTATAGGTTCGACCGCCCTTTCAATTCCTTGCAGTGGTTTTGGTAGACCCTTCAGTGCCAGGTTTTGATTCTGACTCAGCGGTTCAGCAGAGTCCACCCGTAGAATCGTTCATTGTTTGGTGGGTTCCTGAACACCAACTCAAAGCGAA